TAACTGCACAAGTACAATTTTCTGGAATCATTTACAATCGTGTGATAAGCTCATGTTTTAACTTTTAAGTAGTGTTCATGGTGATCATATTTTTGGATCCCCGATGGGCAAACACTCGTCACACCAAGCTAAAGGAAACCTTTCGACGTTTCACCATACAAAGTAAGGTGATTTAAACTTTTACTCAGCTTACAACGTTACTCATGGGACGAGACGGCATGAGCCCCACGCTATAAACTCGGCAGCACTGTTCTAAGAAATTCGATTTAAAAGCTGTGTTAAAATTGTGTTAGAGATCTGAAATTCTACAGGGCATCCTTTTGAAGCAGTATTGGGAGTATGTATGTATTTAATATGTATGTATTCCAACCCTGGCGCGTGGGGACACGTTTTTGCTAGTAGTTTGCGACATTATTTTACGGGTATCGAATCTCGCGACTTCAACGAAGTCCTGGGGACACGTTTTCAATAATTGATAATATTTTCAGCCCCTATCGTTTTAAGCATCGTTAGGGCTTTCCCAGAAACTAACTCTCATCATCCTAGGATAATCGTGTGTCGCACAGCACCTCTTTCAGTAACGAGAGTAGTCGCATGCAGTCCAGAATGACGTGTACGTTTCGGTCACCTGTGGAAAAAGGAAGTGAGATATCAAAAATCTGAGAAAAACCCGTTGGATAAAAGCCTTTCAGGTAGGTGCTAGTCAAGATTTCATCTCTTTAGACCTTAAGATGGCTTCTAACACCTCGTCAAAAGTTTTTAAAAGTAAATTTTACTCGCGACTATCAAAAAACAACAAAAACGTGTCCCCAATTTGCTTTTTTGAGCGCGCCCAGATCAGCGCACCTAGCTGATCTAGCTACTATGAACAGGCACATAAAAATATCAGTGAATATAAGTGATTTCGGTTATTGGAGTAATTTCATCAGAGCAGTCACATTTTTGATGGTGATTAATACTTTAATAACATTCCACAACAAGGCAACCATTAATTATGTAGTGTGTACCGTGTGCAGTGTGAAGTATAATATAGAGTTGGCATGAAGTTAACAGTTTACTTATCACGAAGTTTAATTAGAAGATAAGGAAAATATTGTATTGTTATCTGTCAAAGGAATTTAATGTATTCTAACAACTTGTTCTTATAATAACTAATCGATGAACCACATACAGGGTCGGTGTGAGTGTAAGAATTTGTGTGAGAAGATATATAGAGGAGCAAAATTCAACATCACTGGATACGGCGGCCATACTCGGTTGAATACACCCCATCTCGTTCGATCTGGGAAGTTAAGCAACTGCAGGCCGGGTTAGTACTTGGATGGGTGACCGCCTGGGAATTCCCGGTGCCGTATCCTTTTGTTATATTTTCGAAGAATTGCTTTACTGAACAGAAGAATTGTGTATGGCTTTTACAGAATTGCAGTGATTATTAAGAATATCATTTTATCCTAAGCAATATAGTCTATGTTCAAACGGAAGGAAATATTTCCAAATGTCAGAATAACATTGCTTAGAATAGTATAGCTACTAAGTTTTGTCTGAAAAGGGCTTTTTTGTTTCATTCTAAGATCTATCTTAAACATTCTGCTTAAAATTAACTAGAATGTATTTTTAAGTTAACTTGAAGAGTACTACAAGGTATCCTGAAGTTAACTTGAAGAGTACTACAAGGTATCCTGAAGTTAACTTGGAGAGTACTGCAAAGTATCCTGTAGATAACTCGAAGAGTACTGCAAGGTATCCTGAAGTTAACTCGAAGAGTACTACAAGGTATCCTGAAGTTAACTTGGAGAGTACTGCAAAGTATCCTGTAGATAACTCGAAGAGTACTACAAGGTATCCTGAAGTTAACTTGAAGAGTACTACAAGGTATCCTGAAGTTAACTTGAAGAGTACTACAAGGTATCCTGAAGTTAACTTGAAGAGTACTGCAAGGTATCCTGAAGTTAACTTGAAGAGTACTATAATAATGCAATGTATCCTGAAGTTAACTTGAAGAGTATAACTGCAAGCTGCAAGGTATCTTGAAATTAACTTGAAGAGTACTACAATTAGGTATCCTGGAGTTAACTTAAAAAGTGATACAAGGTATCCTGAAGTTAACTTAAAAAGCACTACAATGCAATGTATCCTGAAGTTAACTTGAAGAGTATAACTGCAAAGTGCAAGGTATCTTGAAATTAACTTGAAGAGTTCTGCAAGGTATCCTGTAGATAACTCGAAGAGTACTGCAAGCAATCCTGAAGTTAACTTGAAGTGTACTACAAGATATCGTGAAGTTAACTTAAAAAAGTACTACAAGGTATCCTGAAGTTAACTTGAAGAGTACTACAAGGTATCCTGGAGTTATCTCGAAGAGTACTACAAGGTTTCCTGAAGTTAACGTGAAGAGTACTGCAAAGTATCCTGAAGTTAACTTGAAGAGTACTGCAAGGTATCCTGAAGTTAACGTGAAGAGTACTGCAAGGTATCCTGGAGTTAACTTGAAGAGTACTACAAGGTATCCTGGAGTTAACTTAAAAAGTGATACAAGGTATCCAGAAGTTAACTTAAAAAGTACTACAATGCAATGTATCCTGAAGTTAACTTGAAGAGTATAACTGCAAGGTATCTTGAAATTAACTTGAAGAGTACTACAAGGTATCCTGAAGTTAACTTTTAAGAGAACTACAAGTTACCTTCAAATTATCCTCTATTATATACTTAATTAATCCTGTAACAACCTCTATATTGTTGTTGTTGTGGTAGCCTGCACGCAAACTTGGATTAAATTAAGATAAAGCTGATCTGATCCTGAAGTTAACTGACAGAAAGCATGAAGTTGACCTAAAGTTAGATATTTGTCGTGTTCCAATTATATCGGTCCCGATATATTTGAAATTTTATCGCCTCTCGGATTTGCAGTATAACTTGCAAGTTAACTTAAGAATACATTCTAGTTAATTTTAGGATACCTTGTACTTTGTAGTACTCTTCAAGGTAACTCCAGGATACCTTGTAGTACTCTTCAAGTTAACTTCAGGAAACCTTGCAGTACTCTTCAAGTTAACTTCAGGATACCTTGCAGTACTCTTCGAGTTATCTACAGGATACCTTGCAGTACTCTTCAAGTTAACTTCAGGATATCTTGTAGTACTCTTCAAGTTAACTTCAGGATACCTTGTAGTACTATTCAAGTTAACTTCAGAATGTCTTGTAGTATTCTTCAAGGTAACTCCAGGATACCTTGCAGTACTCTTCATGTTAACTTGAGGATACCTTGCAGTACTCTTCAAGTTAACTTCAGGATACCTTGCAGTACTCTTCGAGTTATCTACAGGATACTTTGCAGTACTCTCCAAGTTAACTTCAGGATACCTTGTAGTACTCTTCGAGTTAACTTCAGGATACCTTGCAGTACTCTTCGAGTTATCTACAGGATACTTTGTAGTACTCTCCAAGTTAACTTCAGGATACCTTGTAGTACTCTTCAAGTTAACTTCAGGATACCTTGTAGTACTTTTCAAGGTAACTCCAGGATACCCTTGCAGTACTCTTCGAGTTATCTACAGGATACTTTGCAGTACTCTCCAAGTTAACTTCAGGATACCTTGTAGTACTCTTCGAGTTAACTTCAGGATACCTTGCAGTACTCTTCGAGTTATCTACAGGATACTTTGCAGTACTCTCCAAGTTAACTTCAGGATACCTTGTAGTACTCTTCAAGTTAACTTCAGGATACCTTGTAGTACTCTTCAAGTTAACTTAAAAATACATTCTAGTTAATTTTAAGCAGAATGTTTAAGATAGATCTTAGAATGAAACAAAAAAGCCCTTTTCAGACAAAACTTAGTAGCTATACTATTCTAAGCAATGTTATTCTGACATTTGGAAATATTTCCTTCCGTTTGAACATAGACTATATTGCTTAGGATAAAATGATATTCTTAATAATCACTGCAATTCTGTAAAAGCCATACACAATTATTCTGTTCAGTAAAGCAATTCTTCGAAAATATAACAAAAGGATACGGCACCGGGAATTCCCAGGCGGTCACCCATCCAAGTACTAACCCGGCCTGCAGTTGCTTAACTTCCCAGATCGAACGAGATGGGGTGTATTCAACCGAGTATGGCCGTATCCAGTGATGTTGAATTTTGCTCCTCTATATATCTTCTCACACAAATTCTTACACTCACACCGACCCTGTATGTGGTTCATCGATTAGTTATTATAAGAACAAGTTGTTAGAATACATTAAATTCCTTTGACAGATAACAATACAATATTTTCCTTATCTTCTAATTAAACTTCGTGATAAGTAAACTGTTAACTTCATGCCAACTCTATATTATACTTCACACTGCACACGGTACACACTACATAGTTAATGGTTGCCTTGTTGTGGAATGTTATTAAAGTATTAATCACCATCAAAAATGTGACTGCTCTGATGAAATTACTCCAATAACCGAAATCACTTATATTCACTGATATTTTTATGTGCCTGTTCATAGTAGCTAGATCAGCTAGGTGCGCTGATCTGGGCGCGCTCAAAAAAGCAAATTGGGGACACGTTTTTGTTGTTTTTTGATAGTCGCGAGTAAAATTTACTTTTAAAAACTTTTGACGAGGTGTTAGAAGCCATCTTAAGGTCTAAAGAGATGAAATCTTGACTAGCACCTACCTGAAAGGCTTTTATCCAACGGGTTTTTCTCAGATTTTTGATATCTCACTTCCTTTTTCCACAGGTGACCGAAACGTACACGTCATTCTGGACTGCATGCGACTACTCTCGTTACTGAAAGAGGTGCTGTGCGACACACGATTATCCTAGGATGATGAGAGTTAGTTTCTGGGAAAGCCCTAACGATGCTTAAAACGATAGGGGCTGAAAATATTATCAATTATTGAAAACGTGTCCCCAGGACTTCGTTGAAGTCGCGAGATTCGATACCCGTAAAATAATGTCGCAAACTACTAGCAAAAACGTGTCCCCACGCGCCAGGGTTGTATTCAGGGGTAGATGCTTTGCCTCTCAGAAAATTTTAGTGTAGGCAGATTTAAAGAGATACAGTGGCGGTGAGAACGATATATATATAACGGCTATAATATTAATTAAATTCAATATTGTTTTGATTTTCCCGAATCTCAAAGTTTGTCAACTAATAATTATTCACTCAGTTATATTATTATTGCATAACTAGATTCTAACAATTTCACAATTCTTCAATTTAGCATCATGCCAAATTCAATATGACTGTCAGTCTAGTTAGTTGCCTGCGAATCCTGGTAATATACTGGTGTCACCATGGTAACCCTGAGAGACATTCTATACTTCGCACAGATGCTCTCCACAAGGTTCACAGGTCGTCGTCAGTAAACTCGTCGTCAGATAGGAAGGTAGCAGGGGAAGCGCTTCGCCCCAGCGTCTCCCAGCTTCCGTCATATTCTGTGCGGCTACTCCTACAGGCTGCGGGGCTGAAGGCGGACACGTTACTAATATTCCTGCTGAGGCGGCTGGTGCGCTCCTCGTCGCTCTCTGAAGTTCCCGTGCAGCCGTTAGCGTACTTATCTTTATTCTTACAACAGCTCCAGCACTGCTTCAGATAGGCCCCCTTGTGGAAGTAGGAGTATTTAACCGACCCGACACTGCTGTCTATCAGTCTCCTTATCTCCTCTACCCAGGAGCGGGTGGTAGAGAAACATGGCCCCTGTATGTACAGTATCCGCATCTTCTCGCTCTTAGATACGTATACTACCTGAAACATGTACAATCGTCGGAAAGTCTCTTTATCCACTCTTTCACAAGCTCTCATCTGCGTTATTTGTATACTCCCCTTTAGGTACTTCCCATCCGCCGTCCAGTACGTTAACTCGTCCTGAAGGGAAATTAGCAGCTGCTAAATACATGAGTAAGGGGCAGACCATAATCTGACTGTTGTCACCAGTACATGCTAAATACATGAGTAAGGGGCAGACCATAATCTGACTGTTGTCACCAGTACATGCTAAATACATGAGTAAGGGGCAGACCATAATCTGACTGTTGTCACGAGTACATGCTAAATACATGAGTAAGGGGCAGACCATAATCTGACTGTTGTCACGAGTACATGCTAAATACATGAGTAAGGGGCAGACCATAATCTGACTGTTGTCACGAGTACATGCACGGCTTATAAACACATTGTGCAATTTGTCATGATTTTAGGCACGACCTCATACTATGAAAATTGGCATGAAAATAGTAAAAAGTGAGTGCTGTCACGTTGGCCGGGTGGTGTAGTGGTTAATACATTTGCTTCCTTTGCGGACGACAGGGGTTCGATTAGCAGTGGGGTCCGATTCGGATGCCACCAAACCATGGTTTGAATGGTAGTTATCCTCATTAGAGCTTCGAAAAAACTTTTGGCTGAAAAAAATATTTTTGAAAAATCTTAGTCTCAAAAAGTTTTCTAAAAACTACCTTTCCCGTGTGTCAAGCAATTCCGATCATTTTGAGCCAATGAACAATTTTATGGTGTTTGGTAATTAGCTAATTAGTAATTATTACTAAATTTTCAAGAAAAAATTGTCCAACAAAAGTTTTTTCTAGTCAATAAAATGAAATAATTCTTAACCTTCTACGATGTTCACAGTTGAAGATATTTGACAGACAAGAAAGGTGATGCAAAGTGGCAAAAAGTGGAAAATTTTGGAAAAGTTGGTCAGCCGAATAGAACCTAAAAATAGAACCTAAAAACGTCATAAATCCTTTGGAAGCTTCTTGTGTCGGTAGATCGATTTTTTCAGACAGAAAAAAAAGGATGGTTACGAATGGTATAATGGTTAAAAAGAGGGATTTTGGTTAGGCATGAGTATAATTTACATTTTACTTCCAATATTCTACACAGACGAAAGTTAAGGTATTATTTATAATTTGAATCACAAGTTGTAACACTAAGGCATGATACTGTAAAACCCCAATTTACCACACATTACCAGTTAGGGCCTAGGGGGAAATAGTACGGTAAACCAGGGTTTGACTTCTTAACATGGTTTCTCTTCACACAGTACTGGTTGATGGTAAAATTCTTATTTGTCAGATTAGATGCAATGTCTTAAAATCTGTTCCTAAACGTCACAATTATAGTACTTCATTTATGAAGACATCGGTTTTGGAGATTTGAAACAAATATGATTAGATATAAAAAACAATGAGCGTTTGACAAGTATCAAATATGAAACATGGCGGTGGTATAAGACCCAACGTATTTAAACTCACTTCCCATCCCCCCCCCCCCTGTATTTCTATCATTTCCTAAAATCCAAAAACTTTTTTTGAACCTGACTTACTGACTGACTTAAGGCGGCTTCAGCGTCCGAGTATTGATGCGCTGTCTCCATAAAACTCTATCCGCCATAAGTCCGCCCATTTCTCCAGTGTCGTTGAGACCCGTGTCAGCTCGTAGGCTATCAACATAGGTCATGGCTGGTCTCCCCCTACTCCGCACCCCATGAGTTGGTTCCCAGAGTAGCAAGCGGTTTGCGACTAGTTCTGGGTGCCGGTGGATATGGCCTGCTAGTTGCATCCTGCGCTCTTGGATCTTCATGGTTGCTCTCGGTAGGTTGCCATAGACTTCTTTGTTGGTTTTTCGCTGCTTCCAATCCACATTAAGTGCCATCCTTAGCATTCTAGTGTAGCAGCCATCGATGCGTTTCTTCAATTGCTCTGTCAACGTCCACGTTTCAGAACCATAAAGAAGTATTGACTCCACAGTAGCAACAAATAGACGGATCTTTAGTCCTCTTCTAAGGTCAGACTTCCACATCTTCTTTAGCTTGTGGCAGGCTGCCCAAGCCTTAGCTTTTCTGACCCGCAGGTCCCTCTCTGTTGTTGCTATCCAAGCTCCAAGGTAAACAAAGTCTGTCACCTTTTCCAGCTGGTTTCCAGAACAGCTATTAAGACTACTCGCCTCCTCTGTCATGTTCAGAGTCATGAACTTAGTTTTAGAGCCGTTCATGGCTAGCCCAACACTCAGTGCTGCTTTCTCAAGCCTGTCCAGGAGTAGTTTTGCCCCTTCAATGGTATCAGTGATAAGGGCAACATCATCTGCAAACTCGACGTCTGCGATCTTCTCGGCACCAATCCTTCTACTCCGTGCAGGCCTGAGGGTAAACCCAGAGTCCGAGTCATCATCGTCTATAGTCACTGTCATGATATAGTCAATCACGATAATGAACAAGTACGGGGCAAGAGTGTCTCCTTGCAGTACTCCAGCCAGGATATCAAAAATTTCTGTTATACCATCGGCTGTAACTACTTTAGCCTTTGTGCTCGTATAGATACCCTCAATGAGCCGCACTATGGCTTCTGGTATGCCATATGCTTTTGATATCTTCATGAGCAAACCTCTATGCACACTATCGAACGCCTTTTTGAAATCAATGAAAACCATGGTGGCCTTAAGATTTTTGGCTCTAGCACCCTCCATAATTCTTCGTAGAGCAAGGATGTGCGATGTTGTAGAGCGCCCAGGTCTAAAGCCATTCTGGTTGTCCCTTAAAACTTCCTCAAGACTTGAACCACCCTGTGTATTACCGAAATAACGAATAACTAATAATAGTGTGCACTATACTACTAATAACTAATAAACTACCAAACAAGAACCAATGAATACTTGCAATAATTTAACTCACCTCGAATAGTTTAAAGAATCTGTGCTGGAATTTTGCCTTTATTGTTGTCACGCTTTTAGCAACAGAACGTTTAATGAGTCCTCCATGGCGAATGGGAACTTTTGGCGCTAGTGTTTCCATCTTTGGGAACTGCCTATCTGCACATAAAAAAATCAAAAATCAAAATAAAGAAGTTCACTTTGACATACATGATTATTGTGGCTTGAGCAACTTGAAACCTAATACTGTGACCTGTACTGCATCGTCATGTCGTGTAGATAACAATTCATTTTAATACAAATTTGTATATCAAACTCGTCAGTGAAACAATATTCCAACTGTAACTTATTACAGCACTACAAATCTATTATATTCATTACGTTACAGAGGGAGTTAAGGGGGCCGGGGGGGTCTTCATCAAAATTCTCTCGAAATTGATTTTATAGTTGTTTCTGATAGAGGGGAGTGATATCTATCAGCTGCTTTTGGTCCCATGGAAAAATATTGTTCCTAGCCGAAATTATCGCTGGTCAAAGGTCAGCGCTCATGTGTAATTGTATTGCGCGAGCGATTTTCAATCGCGCGTCCTGAAAATCGAGTCTAAAAATCTATCTTCTCCTACATTTTTTGAGCAATCACCCTGAAACTTTCAGGATATGTTCTAGGGATCATTTAGAAGAGAAGTATCGAGCCGATTTTTGAGATAGGCCTCAGAAAATTTTTAATTCGATTTTGAAAATCTTTGACCTCATTTTTTGACGATTTTTCCAGGTCCAAGATTTTCAAAATCGATTTAAAAATTTTCTGAGGCCTATCTCAAAATTCGGCTCGATACTTCTCTTCTAAATGATCCCTAGAACATATCCTAAAAGTTTCAGGGTGATTGCTCAAAAAATGTAGGAGAAGATAGATTTTTAGACTCGATTTTCAGGACGCGCGATTGAAAATCGCTCGCGCAATACAATTACACATGAGCGCTGACCTTTGACCAGCGATAATTTCGGCTAGGAACAATATTTTTCCATGGGACCAAAAGCAGCTGATAGATATCACTCCCCTCTATCAGAAACATCTATAAAATCAATTTCGAGAGAATTTTGATGAAGACCCCCCCCCCCCCCCCCCCCCCCCCGGCCCCCTTAATGTATTGAAGTCCGAGAAATCCTAACCCTCGTCACGCTTCCCTTTTATATTAATATAGTTAAAATGTGTTCATACATTGTTTTTGCTGATTTTTGTTTTAAATAACAAATTTAATTATTTTCGACATAATTGAAGAATAGAAAAGTATAATGAAAAATAGAAGAATAAACTTACGAATAGAAGAGTAAATTGAAGAAAATAACAGTAAATTAAAGAATAGAACAGTAAACTTAGGAATAGAAGAGTAAACTAACGAATGGAGGGGGTGCCAACCTCATTTTGTCTCATTTGGGGCACCCAAAAAATGCAAAATTGGGATGAGGAAGAATAAGGCAAATAAATCTAGTTTCTGAGTCCGTTTTTAGAGGCAAAATCGGTTTATTCGAAGTAACTACACTATAATTAACTAACCACTAGTTAATGGTTTATTAGGGGTGATGTGGTACCTGGGGTGATGTGGTACCTGGGGTGATGTGGTACCTGGGGTGATGTGGTACCTGGGGTGATGTGGTACCTGGGGTGATGTGGTACCTGGGGTGATGTGGTACCTGGGGTGATGTGGTACCTGGGGTGATGTGGTACCTGGGGTGATGTGGTACCTGGGGTGATGTGGTACCTGGGGTGATGTGGTACCTGGGGTGATGTGGTACCTGGGGTGATGTGGTACCTGGGGTGATGTGGTACCTGGGGTGATGTGGTACCTGGGGTGATTTGGTACCTGGGGTGATGTGGTACCTGGGGTGATGTGGTACCTGGGGTGAGGCAATCCCAGTTTAACATATTTATTCTCCAAACGTGGGGAATCCACCAATTCAAAATATTTAATACCGTTAACGCAATTAATTTGAGAGTGACTTAAGATGTACCTTTAAAGGTTAGCATTATCCTGGAAATAATCATGTTTTCTACTACCATACCAGCTCCACTGATTTCATACTAGTGTTAAGTATACATACTTAAGTATTAAGTATGAGAGTCCTATAGTATTCGCCACAGTGACCCCGATATCCAGCGTTTGTAACTGAAACCCTTCGAATTTCTGGCCACAATCCTTAATTAATATCTTAAACCTAAAGTAGAACCAATGTAGTGAAACAGTTACAGTTACAGTACGATATAGAACACTACTTAAAGGGGAGCTTTTTAATGGTAAAATTGTTGATATGGTGAGCAACGAAAGCAAGGTTAATAATTAATAATATGAAAAATGCAAACCGACAACGTCCACTTGCCATCAATACAAGAAATCACTGATGCCCGCAGTCACTAGTCACAACGTCATAGGGCATAATGATAGGGTACAATTGTTACGTCCTGGGGTCAGACGATATCCAAGCCGGATGTAACTTTAAGAACTTATAGAAATAGTCCATCTAAAAGGGAATGATCAGCGGAGGCAGCCAAAAGCAAACCGTAGCAAAAAGTGATTTTATGACCAAATTTAAACAATTCTCTCGCCCATCGCCTGACATTTCAGGGTTTTCAACCCCTACCACCTTAATCCCCGGGTGCTTCCGGAATTTTGCTGAAACTCCATATTTAATTTGAGGGTAACTTAAGAGAACACCCTATTCACAACTGAAAAGCACATCGTGATAATTAAATTTGAACACAAAAAAAGATCAAACTAGTTGCCTAATTTGGTATCTTTCGTTATGCGTGCAGCCAAAATGACTGATTTTTGTCGATATCCCTACAAATAAGAGCATTTCTTACATTGGGCCTAAGTTATATAAAAAAAACGGTCAACATTATTAACAAGTTCATAAAATACGTCACGACTTACCTACAAGACAAATTCTTAAATTCATGCAAGTCTACAGTCAACAAGCATTTGCTTACTGCACAAGCTCTTAACCCGGATGAAAAAGATTGAAACAATTCAAATTTCGTACTTTCAGAAACTTAAATAATTTGGTACAACATACATTGATAGCGACGAGCAACAAAAATTTTACCTTGTGTGCATATATTTATATTTGGTTGTAATTAAAGGCGTTAGTGCCGAGTAATGCCTCTGGGTAGTGCTCCTCAATCAATCAATCATTAAGCATTAAAGAGCTTATATTACTTCATAAGTTGTATATAATTGTGTCTTTTGCGGTTGTTTTAAGCTTAGATTCGAGTCTCTTGGACGTTTAGGGACTGAGATAAAATTGTCGAAATTTGCCTCATTTGCCCCACAAAAAAACCTTAAAAATATATCCTGGAAACTCATTCCACACGCCTACCCTTACGAAGGACTGAATTTATGCATTACAAACTCCATGGTAAATATCAAGTATGTATAACACACTACTAGTATGTGTAGTGTGTATAACACACTACTAGTATGTGTAGTGCGTATAACACACTACTAGTATGTGTAGTGTGTATAACACACTACTAGTATGTGTAGTGTGTATAGCACACTACTAGTATGTGTAGTGCGTATAACACACTACTAGTATGTGTAGTGCGTATAACACACTACAAGTATGTGTAGGGTGTATAACACACTACAAGTATGTGTAGGGTGTATAACACACTACAAGTATGTGTAGTGTGTATAACACACTACTAGTATGTGTAGTGCGTATAACACACTACTAGTATGTGTAGTGTGTATAACACACTACTAGTATGTGTAGTGCGTATAACACACTACAAGTATGTGTAGTGTGTATAACACACTACTAGTATGTGTAGTGTGTATAACACACTACAAGTATGTGTAGTGCGTATAACACACTACAAGTATGTGTAGTGTGTATAACACACTACTAGTATGTGTAGTGCGTATAACACACTACTAGTATGTGTAGTGTGTATAACACACTACTAGTATGTGTAGTGCGTATAACACACTACTAGTATGTGTAGTGCGTATAACACACTACTAGTATGTGTAGTGCGTATAACACACTACTAGTATGTGTAGTGCGTATAACACACTACTAGTATGTGTAGTGTGTAGTGCGTATAACACACTACTAGTATGTGTAGTGTGTATAACACACTACTAGTATGTGTAGTGTGTATAACACACTACTAGTATGTGTAGTGTGTATAACACACTACTAGTATGTGTAGTGTGTATAACACACTACTAGTATGTGTAGTGTGTATAACACACTACTAGTATGTGTAGTGTGTATAACACACTACTAGTATGTGTAGTGTGTATAACACACTACTAGTATGTGTAGTGTGTATAACACACTACTAGTATGTGTAGTGTGTATAACACACTACTAGTATGTGACTAATAAATGTAAAATAAGCAAAGCAGTACATTTCCTTTTGTAAAGAGTTTACAAAATATGACTAACTAAGGTGAGCAAAAACTGTAAGAATAAAAAATAGTAGTACGATGAAGCTATGCGAGAAGAGTGAATATTGCAGCTGAGTACTGCATGAGTACATTGGGGTATGCTACACAGCGTTGTATATGGTTACTGCAGTACACACTTACAGTGTACAGTTACATTACATGATAACAAACAACACACTACACACCACACCAGTTGTCAACAAAATAACAGTAGACAATTTCAAATCACTACAATGGCTGCCATTATTACATAAGTACATAGACTAAGTGTTATCACTACATTATAAACTTCATCTGATATTGTGACTTTGTCGTAACTTGTGCCTATATCTTAATTTGTGACTGTGTCGTAACTTGTGCCTATATCTTAATTTGTGACTGTGTCGTAACTTGTGCCTATATCTTAATTTGTGACTGTGTCGTAACTTGTGCCTATATCTTAATTTGTGACTGTGTCGTAACTTGTGCCTATATCTTAATTTGTGACTTTGTCGTAACTTGTGCCTATATCTTAATTTGTGACTTTGTCGTAACTTGTGCCTATATCTTAATTTGTGACTTTGTCGTAACTTGTGCCTATATCTTAATTTGTGACTGTGTCTTTTTGTTGTTTTTCTAATTGGTGAAAAATTTCAATTTCGTTCATCTCCCCAATTGTTTATGTAAAACGGTGTATCGTTTAGTTTCCCATATGGTGTAAATGACTTGTTTTTGAGGTCAAGCACGACATCTAAGAAATCTACCGAGTGCTGACAAAGGTCACTGTTACTTTTAGGCTCTATTTTTTGGAAATAATGAGTTTCCTAATTCTATCTAGTAGCTGGCTGTTGGTTTTTATTAATGACTGCAAGTCTGTCAGTCCTCGGCCTCGGTTTTACCGAGGAATAGCGATTTATCCTCGGCCTCGGTCAGGAGGACAATTCCTCGGTTTGCCTCGGCCTCGGTTAAAAATTAAGTTGCTATTCCTCGAATAGGGGTTTACGGAGCAGCACTTAAAGATAGCGGCCACGACCATCGCTAGATTTTCAAAGGCGACTGAATAATATTGCGGACGCCACCGGCCACACCAACGATATGACAACCATACCGTAATCCCACATACCCATGCACCTTTGTCTAATTTTATAGTGATTAGCACTGTCCCAACTGCCAAGATATTGCCAACATTTATAATGAATACACTTTTTGCCCAACATAAATTGCCAACTATAGCTCTGTTATTCTGTCTCATCTTAAATATTATTTGTATCTAATATGGGGGGGGGGGGGGGGGGGGGGGGGGCTCATGAGCATTTTTGAGAGTCCCGATGAAAATGCCAAATTTTCATTCTTAAAAATTATTTTTTGAGTATTGTTGGACCACATTGCACTGATATGAAGAATAATTTGGTACATCACTATTTTTTAGTGGACAATTTTTGAGAAAATGAGAAATCCATGCTGAATTTCTCAGATTCAAAATTTTTGAGACATTTTTGAGACATTTTTGAGACATTTTTGAGTATTCCCGGCGAAAATGGTCAAATTCTCAGATTCAAAAATTCTCAAAAAAAATCACAAAATAAACAAATACTGTTGTCTCCTGACATCACTTAAGAGTCAGACGGGTTCCTGGTAGTATAATTTAATTGCACTTCTCTATAATATCAATGTTGCAGATGGAGGACGAGACACCGAACGTTCCTACGGAGGAGTCTGTGGCGGAGTTGAAGCTGAACCTACTGCAAGTTCTGTGTCTGCACGAGCACTACGTGCAACTCAACCTTCCTTACCCTCACTCTCTATTCAACGAGAAAAACAGCATCAAACCTCATCAAGTGAGTTCAATTGTGAAGTAGGAATAATTTTAATTACCCAGTGGTGCAATAAAATATTTATTCTCAAACATTTTTTTGAATTTTGCATTTTACACCCGATACGTTTTTATTTCGTAATAGAAATACTGCTACTATTACTATTACTATTACGTAATAGAAATACTGCGAATATCGAGATTCCACTCATGTCATTGATTGGGGTTCCGATTTCGATATTGAAATATCCTGATCCATTTTTGCTACAGGATGTTAAATAGGACGGGTAACCATGAATGTAGTTAAAGAACTAAGAAACTATTGTCACGTATCTGTGTATATATCAGGGTGTCCAGGGACCATAGATTTCATAGATTTCATAGATTTCATAGATTCCATAGATTTCATAGATTTCATAGATTTCATAGATTTCATAGATTTCATAGATTTCATAGATTTCATAGATTTCATAGATTTCATAGATTTCATAGATTTCATATTATTAAGAAACTGTTTACACCATTAAAATATTCAAAACCCCTAAAAGAAATCAAGACATCCTAAAATGGTGACAGTACAGATCAAGACAGCTAGAGTAAAAAAAAATTTCTCCAAGCAACTCTATCATCGGCTAATATCTTAAGCTTATTAAGATCATTCAAAGAGTTAAGTTTTAAACCTCTACGGGTCAAATCATTCACAATAATCTTGAACAAATTCTTACGATGCGCACCGACGCGCCCTTTACAGTTTGTAATGACAGCAAACTTTAATGCTAATGCTGCGGGGGAGTCATCAGCACTACGCAAGATATGACCTAGGAGCTTCCACCTTGCTTTAGGGACACGATCTGATAGCTTTACTGAGTTACATCTTAGGTATAAGTTTGCATTGGATATTGTTCCATGAGGCCAATTAATGTTCAGTAATGTTCTCTAGCTCTATTAGTGTTTTCTATGGCAAATGTCTAATTTTTCTAGTGACTTTGCAGTAGGACACCAACTGCTGCAATTATACATGATGATTGATACAATTTGGGCTTCGTATACTGCTATCTTTCTGGTAACGGAGATATTCTGCTGAGACCAGATCTTGGTGAACTTATAGAAGGCATTGTTCCCAGCAATGCATCGAGCAGCTACATCACATTCACTACACAACAATGACCAAAGAATCTAACTCTTCCGCCAATTTTCACGTAACATGGTATCATCACAGATTTTATAGATTTCATAGATTTCATAGATATCATAGATTTCGTAGATTTCGTAGACTTCATAGATTTCATGGATTTCATGGATTTCAGGGCTTTCATAGATTTCATAGATTTCATAGATTTCATAGATTTCATAGATTTCATAGATTTCATAGATTTCATAGATTTCATAGATTTCATAGATTTCATAGATTTCATAGATTTCATAGATTTCATAGATTTCATATCCAAAATCACCTGGGACACCCTGGTGTATACCTGGACACCCTGGTGTATACTTTACGAGACATATTTAAATGGTTACGAAAGTCGGTGGTTCTTCGCAAAAACACCAAATTTTCGGACATTAAATCTCTCTGGTAACTTAGTGTCAGTTTGTCCCTTAAAATGTAGGCGGAAATACGAATACAGGGTGAGTCAAAAAAACATGACCTTCTCATTTTTGGGGTACGGAGAAAAATTGTGAATACATAAAGCATTTATCCTTTTATAAAGTCACAGCTTTATATCTTGGGATAGCTGATACAAAATATCAAGCTGAATGAATTTGTGATCATGTCATTCTAGAGGGTTCAAAATCTAATTTTTTCAAAAAATCACCCAATCCTTGCATGTTTCCCAGCGAGGTTCTGGGGCTGTGGCTCGACTAAAAAGTGATATTTTTATCTATCCTTACACACAGTGCAGATGTAGCTCTGGCACTCCTTGAACTGCTGAAGAAGTCCCATGATGTAAAAATATTGATCGGTCATTGAGATATGTGATAATTTATGTGACGCTCCTCTTATCAATCTAAAGGTTAAGGGGGGGGGGGGGGGGGGTTTACCCTGATTTTTTTGTGAAATTTGATTTGGAGATAGTAATTGACCAACAAACTAGGGCCTGTAAACTACGCATTCTCTATGATTATCAGCTCAATATCTACCTAACGGTGGATTCTGTGTTCAAATAATCGCAAAAATGAACAAAATCGCCCATATCTCAGTTCGCGATATTCGCGAAACTGATTTCGCTCAAAACAATAGAACTCAATAGCGTTTCAATATTAATTGTTCATGAAATTTTCAGAATCAACGTAGGATTGCCTGATGACCTTAAGTTTTGGAGTGGAATTTTGAGTTAGGCCAAATTCTGAAATTTGCCGGCCATTTTTAAGACCGAAAATGGGCGTGGCTGTCCCGCGGGCACCGGTGGGCACCCGGAGTCCGGAAAACCGCCTCGAAAGTTCGGTCACAGGCCTTAGTTTATTGGTCAATTACCCCCCCCCCCCCCCCCCCCCCCCCCCCCCCCCCCCCTTAATGTTTCTAGATGTAAAATGTATTAAGGAACACAGTGGTGAAATCCATTTGATTCTAAAATGTATCGTTTGGCCGCTACATCAATTTCCAAGGTCTGCATGCCCATATTTGGGAATCATGCCAAATAATCGCCTCTTCATGGAGCTGGAAAGCTTTAATGGGGTCTGAAAACTTTTACAAAATATTCCCATTGGCTTTTCCGACATGAATTGACATCCAAACATTACCCCGTTGTCGATATGGCCCCAAATTACCTAATTAATTGAGAATGTCAAATACGGAAATTTCAATTCACGCGAAGATTTCGTAATTGGTCTACTGGGACAAGTATCCAACAGAGTCCAAAATACGTTTCGAGTACTAATTACTATTAGAAAAAGGTTAAGACTAACTAGTTGGAGAGTTTCAGAAAGATCAGATATTTTTTCTAATTTAAATTACTCCATAAGAAAAAGTCATATATATTTTTTAATAACGATATTAGTACATATTATATCAAAATAATCTAGGCAAATTTTCGCTTAAAGTCAAAAGTACGTCGGTACTAGTCTGTACTGTTTTCCGTATAAATACACACTTGTAACCCCGCACGAAGTCGCGATAAGAGAAACTTATGGCCTGAAAATTCACAAAAATGGACAAGCGATTCCATATATTATATTATAATAACATAAACCCGCCACGCTAAGGGTTTATATAACAGATCATCCCGCGCTAGCGGGATGATCTGATAAACACATACGAGTGCGCGCAGCGCACGAGTTTTGTGTTAATATGTAATCCCGAAGCGCCAGCTGAGGGATTACATTTATTTAGCCCTGAGCGTGAAGTGTTTATGGATTATAATTATCTCCGGCGATTTCGACAAGGGATTCAGTTCATCAATCTGAATGTCAAACCGATCTGTCATAGTGGAGCAATAGCTTGAACGTTAGCAGGAACAAGAGCTGGAAGGAGAGCAAGCAAAACAATACTATTTTTAGGGCACGGAATCACGGATAAGGGTAGCTGGCTAGTCGCCAACTTCTCACGCCACGCGTTGGAGAAATTCCAAGAATTAGCTGCTTTGGCAACGTTCCCAGGAATTTGCGTGTAAAAGAAGTGGACGGTTACGATGTTTCATATCACGTGGTGCGCTTTCGTGTTACGTGGTATAGACTCGGCGTATGCTATTGGTGGCACGTGGTACGCACGTGACGCGCCCACGTGATCGCGCGTCTAACTGTTCTAATCAGCAGTATCATTGATTATTGTAAGTCGGAGAATTGAATGATAAACATCAGTTACGACTAAAAAGCGGGCCGGGTTTATACAAATTTCCGGGGCGGGATGATATCACCTTGAGATGTTTATCTAACAGCGGGCCGGGCTGAGTGATAATATGATCCCGCGTCGAAATCCCGGAGATATTTATAAAGGAGTAATTAAAGGTATCACACGCTACTAATAGTGGCAACATGCGACTCTCTTAAAAGCGCTGAAGATGTAAATAAACTGATTTATTGTGTGGCACAGACTATTATACCAGACTATTATACAGCAGGGTAGTAGTAGTAGTAGCAGGATGTCAGACTATTATACCTTTTAAACTGGTGTTCCCATCAGATATTAATGTCCTATTGTGATTCGTTTTATTTTATCCTGTTTCAATGTAATTGATGTTATGGATTCCCTTTGGTATAATCACCATTCACCTCAGGCATTACTTCGGTGGCAGGCTCTAACATAGAATTTTTGAATCGATCGCATCCATTAGAGCCTGTAAAGGAATGGGAGAGGGAGAGCTAGTATCCAATACAGCCTGTAAAGGAGGGGTACAGGGAGAGCTAGTATCCAATACAGCCTGTAAAGGAGGGGTACAGGGAGAGCTAGTATCCAATACAGCCTGTAAAGGAGGGGTACAGGGAGAGCTAGTATCCAATACAGCCTGTAAAGGAGGGGTACAGGGAGAGCTAGTATCCAATACAGCCTGTAAAGGAGGGGTACAGGGAGAGCTAGTATCCAATACAGCCTGTAAAGGAGGGGTACAGGGAGAGCTAGTTTCCAATACAGCCTGTAAAGGAGGGGTACAGGGAGAGCTAGTATCCAATACAGCCTGTAAAGGAGGGGTACAGGGAGAGCTAGTATCCAATACAGCCTGTAAAGGAGGGGTACAGGGAGAGCTAGTATCCAATACAGCCTGTAAAGGAGGGGTACAGGGAGAGCTAGTATCTAATACAGCCTGTAAAGGAGGGGTACAGGGAGAGCTAGTATCCAATACAGCCTGTAAAGGAGGGGTACAGGGAGAGCTAGTTTCCAATACAGCCTGTAAAGGAGGGATACAGGGAGAGCTAGTATCCAATACAGCCTGTAAAGGAGGGGTACAGGGAGAGCTAGTATCCAATACAGCCTGTAAAGGAGGGGTGCAGGGAGAGCTAGTATCTAATACAGCCTGTAAAGGAGGGGTACAGGGAGAGCTAGTATCCAATACAGCCTGTAAAGGAGGGGTACAGGGAAAGCTAGTTTCCAATACAGCCTGTAAAGGAGGGGTACAGGGAGAGCTAGTTTCCAATACAGCCTGTAAAGGAGGGGTACAGGGAGAGCTAGTATCCAATACAGCCTGTAAAGGAGGGGTACAGGGAGAGCTAGTATCCAATACAGCCTGTAAAGGAGGGGTACAGGGAGAGCTAGTATCCAATACAGCCTGTAAAGGAGGGGTACAGGGAGAGCTAGTATCCAATACAGCCTGTAAAGGAGGGGTACAGGGAGAGCTAGTATCTAATACAGCCTGTAAAGGAGGGGTACAGGGAGAGCTAGTTTCCAATACAGCCTGTAAAGGAGGGGTACAGGGAGAGCTTGTATCCAATACAGCCTGTAAAGGAGGGGTACAGGGAGAGCTAGTATCCAATACAGCCTGTAAAGGAGGGGTACAGGGAGAGCTAGTTTCCAATACAGCCTGTAAAGGAGGGGTACAGGGAGAGCTAGTATCCAATACAGCCTGTAAAGGAGGGGTACAGGGAGAGCTAGTTTCCAATACAGCCTATAAAGGAGGGGTACAGGGAGAGCTAGTATCCAATACAGCATGTAAAGGAGGGGTACAGGGAGAGCTACTATCCAATACAGCCTGTAAAGGAGGGGTACAGGGAGAGCTAGTTTATAATACAGGCTGTAAAGGAGGGGTACAGGGAGAGCTAGTATCCTATAGAGCCTGTAAAGGAGGGGTACAGGGAGAGCTAGTATCTAATACAGCCTATAAAGGAGGGGTACAGGGAGAGCTAGTTTCCAATACAGCCTGTAAAGGAGGGGTACAGGGAGAGCTAGTATCTAATACAGCCTGTAAAGGAGGGGTATAACAGGGAGAGCTAGTTTCCAATAGAGCCTGTAAAGGAGGGGTACAGGGAGAGCTAGTATCCAATACAGCCTGTAAAGGAGGGGTACAGGGAGAGCTAGTATCCAATACAGCCTGTAAAGGAGGGGTACAGGGAGAGCTAGTTTCCAATACAGCCTATAAAGGAGGGGTACAGGGAGAGCTAGTTTTCAATACAGCCTGTAAAGGAGGGGTACAGGGAGAGCTAGTTTGCAATACAGCCTGCAAAGGAGGGGTACAGGGAGAGCTAGTTTCCAATACAGCCTATAAAGGAGGGGTACAGGGAGAGCTAATATCCAATACAGCCTGTAAAGGAGGGGTACAGGGAGAGCTAGTATCCAATACAGCCTGTAAATGAGGGGTACAGGGAGAGCTAGTTTCCAATACAGCCTATAAAGGAGGGGTACAGGGAGAGCTAGTTTCCAATACAGCCTGTAAAGGAGGGGTACAGGGAGAGCTAGTTTGCAATACAGCCTGCAAAGGAGGGGTACAGGGAGAGCTAGTATCCAATACAGCCTGTAAAGGAGGGGTACAGGGAGAGCTAGTATCCAATACAGCCTGTAAAGGAGGGGTACAGGGAGAGCTAGTATACAATACAGCCTGTAAAGGAGGGGTACAGGGAGAGCTAGTATCCAATACAGCCTGTAAAGGAGGGGTACAGGGAGAGCTAGTATCCAATACAGGCTGTAAAAGAGGGGTACAGAGAGAGCTAGTTTCCAATACAGCCTGTAAAGGAGGGGTACAGGGAGAGCTAGTATCCAATACAGCCTGTAAATGAGGGGTACAGGGAGAGCTAGTTTCCAATACAGCCTATAAAGGAGGGGTACAGGGAGAGCTAGTTTTCAATACAGCCTGTAAAGGAGGGGTACAGGGAGAGCTAGTTTGCAATACAGCCTGCAAAGGAGGGGTACAGGGAGAGCTAGTTTCCAATAGAGCCTGTAAAGGAGGGGTACATGGAGAGCTAGTATCCAATAGAGCATGTAAAGGAGGGGTACAGGGAGAGCTAGTTTCCAATACAGCCTGTAAAGGAGGGGTACAGGGAGAGCTAGTATCCAATACAGCCTGTAAAGGAGGGGTACAGGGAGAGCTAGTATATAATACAGCCTGTAAAGGAGGGGTACAGGGAGAGCTAGTTTCCAATACAGCCTGTAAAGGAGGGGTACAGGGAGAGCTAGTATCCAATACAGCCTGTAAAGGAGGGGTACAGGGAGAGCTAGTTTCCAATACAGCATGTAAAGGAGGGGTACAGGGAGAGCTAGTTTCCAATAGGGCTGGTAAAGGAAAGATTGATCAATTTTGAGGATCAGCAGAGGTATTTTTCATCTCTTCATTACCCCTTCATCATCTCCAGTTCAAAGCTAAGCTCAAGTCGACGAAGACTGCACAGAGCCTGACATCTCTGAATAAGACGTACTGCGAGAGACACTATTTAGTTGGACTCCTCTTATCCATGGAGGCTCACATTCTCAACTTCTCTACGTTAGTACAGTGCGCTTTATAATTGTGAAGTATTAACTTCTACGCATAAGAGAACCACACCTGCCGCGGCATGCCGGTGCCTATGCAGTGTTCTGTGTTTGTCTTAAATGTGCATTAAGTGTGCCTTTACCAATTACCATGTCTTAAATGTCCTGTAAGTGTATTTAACCCAGATTGTGCCTGGGTTAAATACACTTACAACCTGTCCCTCACCCAGATTGTGGTATCAACCTGTCCCTCACCCAGATTGTGCTATCAACCTGTCCCTCACCCAGATTGTGCTATCAACCTGCCCCTCACCCTGATTGTGCTATCAACCTGTCCCTCACCCAGATTGTGCTATCAACCTGCCCCTCACCCAGATTGTGCTATCAACCTGCCCCTCACCCAGATTGTGCTATCAACCTGTCCCTCACCCAGATTGTGCTATCAACCTGCCCCTCACCCAGATTGTGCTATCAACCTGCCCCTCACCCAGATTGTGCTATCAACCTGCCCTCACCCAGATTGTGCTATCAACCTGCCCCTCACCCAGATTGTGCTATCAACCTGCCCCTCACCCAGATTGTGCTATCAACCTGCCCCTCACCCAGATTGTGGTATCAACCTGCCCCTCACCCAGATTGTGGTATTAACCTGCCCCTCACCCAGATTGTGGTATCAACCTGCCCCTCACCCAGATTGTGCTATCAACCTGCCCCTCACCCAGATTGTGGTATCAACCTGCCCCTCACCCTGATTGTGGTATCAACCTGCCCCTCACCCTGATTGTGCTATCAACCTGCCCCTTACCCAGATTGTGGTATCAACCTGCCCCTCACCCAGATTGTGCTATCAACCTGCCCCTTACCCAGATTGTGGTATCAACCTGCCCCTTACCCAGATTGTGCTATCAACCTGCCCCTCACCCAGATTGTGCTATCAACCTGCCCCTCACCCAGATTGTGCTATCAACCTGCCCCTCACCCTGATTGTGCTATCAACCTGCCCCTCACCCAGATCGTGGTATCAACCTGCCCTCACCCAGATTGTGCTATCAACCTGCCCCTCACCCAGATTGTGCTATCAACCTGCCCCTCACCCAGATTGTGCTATCAACCTGCCCCTCACCCAGATTGTGGTATCAACCTGCCCCTCACCCAGATTGTGGTATCAACCAGCCCCTCACCCAGATTGTGGTATCAACCTGCCCCTCACCCAGATTGTGCTATCAACCTGCCCCTCACCCAGATTGTGGTATCAACCTGCCCCTCACCCTGATTGTGGTATCAACCTGCCCCTCACCCTGATTGTGCTATCAACCTGCCCCTTACCCAGATTGTGGTATCAACCTGCCCCTCACCCAGATTGTGCTATCAACCTGCCCCTTACCCAGATTGTGGTATCAACCTGCCCCTTACCCAGATTGTGGTATCAACCTGCCCCTCACCCAGATTGTGGTATCAACCTGCCCTCACCCAGATTGTGGTATCAACCTGCCCCTCACCAAGATTGTGGTATCAACCTGCCCCTCACCCAGATTGTGCTATCAACCTGCCCCTCACCCAGATTGTGGTATCAACCTGCCCCTCACCCAGATTGTGGTATCAACCTGCCCCTCACCCAGATTGTGCTATCAACCTGCCCCTCACCCTGATTGTGCTATCAACCTGTCCCTCACCCAGATTGTGCTATCAACCTGCCCCTCACCCAGATTGTGCTATCAACTTGCCCCTCACCCAGATTGTGCTATCAACCTGCCCCTCACCCTGATTGTGCTATCAACCTGCCCCTCACCCAGATTGTGCTATCAACCTGCCCTCACCCAGATTGTGGTATCAACCTGCCCCTCACCCAGATTGTGGTATCAACCTGCCCCTCACCCAGATTGTGGTATCAACCTGCCCCTCACCCAGATTGTGGTATCAACCTGCCCCTCACCCAGATTGTGGTATCAACCTGCCCCTCACCCAGATTGTGCTATCAACCTGCCCCTCACCCTGATTGTGCTATCAACCTGTCCCTCACCCAGATTGTGCTATCAACCTGCCCCTCACCCAGATTGTGCTATCAACCTGCCCCTCACCCTGATTGTGCTATCAACCTGCCCCTTACCCAGATTGTGGTATCAACCTGCCCCTTACCCAGATTGTGGTATCAACCTGCCCCTCACCCAGATTGTGCTATCAACCTGCCCCTCACCCAGATTGTGCTATCAACCTGCCCCTCACCCTGATTGTGCTATCAACCTGTCCCTCACCCAGATTGTGCTATCAACCTGCCCCTCACCCAGATTGTGCTATCAACTTGCCCCTCACCCAGATTGTGCTATCAACCTGCCCCTCACCCAGATTGTGCTATCAACCTGCCCCTCACCCTGATTGTGCTATCAACCTGCCCCTTACCCAGATTGTGGTATCAACCTGCCCCTTACCCAGATTGTGGTATCAACCTGCCCCTCACCCAGATTGTGCTATCAACCTGCCCCTCACCCAGATTGTGCTATCAACCTGCCCCTCACCCAGATTGTGGTATCAACCTGCCCCTCACCCTGATTGTGCTATCAACCTGCCCCTTACCCAGATTGTGGTATCAACCTGCCCCTTACCCAGATTGTGGTATCAACCTGCCCCTCACCCAGATTGTGCTATCAACCTGCCCCTCACCCAGATTGTGCTATCAACCTGCCCCTTACCCAGATTGTGCTATCAACCTGCCCCTCACCCAGATTGTGGTATCAACCTGCCCCTCACCCAGATTGTGCTATCAACCTGCCCCTCACCCAGATTGTGGTATCAACCTGCCCCTCACCCAGATTGTGGTATCAACCTGCCCCTCACCCAGATTGTGCTATCAACCTGCCCCTCACCCAGATTGTGCTATCAACCTGCCCCTCACCCAGATTGTGCTATCAACCTAATAAAACAAATTTATTTGTATAATTTGTGATTGTTTCTCCCGGTTTTCTTCCCTTGCGTAGCAAGCCCTGTCTCTTGTAAAAACAACTTCGAAAGATTTGTAGATACACTTAGTCTCTACACCTTTAGCCTCTGGTCCCTAGGGTCAGCCGATCCCGGGCCAGAGGAAAACTACCGACTGCCAAGGTTTGACGCCTAGGCAGTCGAGACCTCTTATTGATACCCTTTATAATAACGCTTTATTTGTATACCGCTTAGGCCGTATAAGCGACCAAAGTCCAAAAAATGGAGTTGATACTGGCCAACAAACCTGACCAAAAGCATGATTTGATTACAAATTTTGTCGCAGGAGCCCCACACTGCAACGAGCTGTGATCCTCTTGACTCGTGATATACTGTATCGCCATGACAACGAGTCGTCCCTGCAAGACGTGGCCAGAAGATCACGAGTAGCTTCGCTTTACCTCCCCTTCGTTACCATAGTGATGGATGTATACGACAAGCTGTGGAAGGAGTTCAATAAGTCTGGCAGCCGGTCCGCCTCAGTCACAGACCGTAGTTATGAGGATGAGGGGATAGCTCAGTCGCCTAGCAACACATTACGTGGCAACAAGAAGCAGGGCCAAATACCGCCCCGTTCTACCAGGACTCTTCTGCTCTGCGTTCTATCCGTGCTCAAGGTCAACTAGTTCTCTTCTCTATTTTAATTTAATTTACTGTACACAAGATTGTTACACTTCGTATTGCATTATCAGAGTTTATCTACCCAATTATCTTATCAGTTATTATTATAACAAGAACCAAAACGTTTAATCCCCACAGAATTGCGACGACGAGCTGCTGAAGAAATGGTTGATTTCACTGAAACCGCACAGGATTAATACTCTAATATCGATGATCAAATTGTGTGTTAGCTGCTTTGAGTATCACCCGGTAAGAATTAGCTGATTAATTTACTTGATTTACTTGAAAACAAATTTGTATAGTCGACAAAGCCACAAGCTTTCGTTAGAGTGGTCCATCATTTATTTTGTGACTATTTTTGAGAGTCCCGATGAAACTGCCAAATTCTCATTCTCAAAAATTATTGAATTTCTTAGATTCGAAAATAATTGTTGAGACATTTTTGAGTATTCCCGGCAAAAATACTCATGACCTAAAATTAAGCATGCCTAATTTTAAATCGAACGTCCCTGATAGAAGATCATACGATGTATTTTATTCACAATACGATGTATTTTATTCACAATTATTTAGACTATGTAATGTAAATACGAATTTAGAAGGATTTATTAAAGATGTAAAATCTCTTAAAATTAAATTATTGTATCAGAATTTTAATAATGATGTCTTAAATAAATATGTTAAAAAGTTCATAGAGGCTAAACATCCGTGTACATATAAGTTGGAGGAGTCCTAACTCTCCTCACGTTCGAAAATGGCGATTCTCTCGTATCAAATATGAGAGTAAAATATGCGTGTGCCCAATGAGAAAGTTTGCCCAATGAGAAAGTTTTAATAAAATCAATCTATATTTTTGTATTTTTAAAATTTAAATCGAGATTGAAGTATAATGGAATTTATAACACCATATCTGATCAAACAGACGGCGCCATTTTGGTACGACACAAATTGAGCACACGGTTCGGATGCAAGCTCACATATTTTGGACTTGAAATAATTGTTTGGTCATATTTGGTGTCGGATCTTTTCTGGCTTTAGTATTGACGATATATTTTTAAGCAAATGTTACCTTAGTAATAGTATTAATGTTATTTTCTGGGATGACTAGTTTAAACACTACTGAGTATAAGTCTCTAAAAAAGTGTTTAATTTCAATTTATTATTATTATAATTGATTTGAATTATTACAGTTGATTTAGTCAGATCCTTAATACTGACTTTAAGCTTGTTTTTTTAGGCAGGCCTGAATATGTACAGAATATTTTAAACTAAACATGAACTTTCTGAACGACTTCTGATGAGATTCAATGTTTTGTTTTTTTTTAACTCGCTCGTTCTTGCTAGCACTGAACACTGTGATATCAGCGTTCTTGCTAGCACTGAACACTGTGATATCATTTAACTTTTTAGGCTACGGAAAAGAACAAAGTAACGAACCGGTCTGCTGAAAAAGCTGAGGAAGCAAAACTGAAACTAGAGGCTATGTTTATGACTGATAAAGGAATGAGGGGAAGGCATCTAAAACGTTCGTTCTCATGTTTTTTCTTTTAGATCCCAGTTGCATTGTGGCAAAGTTGCCCTCTACGGAAAAAATTAAATACATTTTGCAGTCCTTGCGAAGTTTTCAAGTTCTTATTCTGCAGAAGCATCGACAGATCAGATGTCAGGGTCTAGAGGGTTTACAAGGAATTTGCACACTGCAAAAACAAAACCTGCAGAAAGTGAAGGAATTGATGATCAGTCCAGTGAGGAAGAAGCTAGTGAATCGCTGGTGTGTGCGGAGACGAGTATCGTTACCCTAGACACTATCGAACTACTTGTGGAGGTGAGTATCGTTACCCTAGATCGTTACCCTAAATTCCATTTGCGTTTTTCCCAACCCTGGTTTCAACTGAGCGAGTTTATACTTATGCACAATTTTAACTTTTGCGCTGTTTATACTTTTGCAATTCAACTGCGATAGTGAAGTCCCGGCCGTGGGCACGAGTTACACTAGTGATAACAATAATATGCCCCCCTCAGAGCGGTAGTGTGTCTGAAGGAGGACATGTCAACCTTTCCTCCCCGCTAGTCTCAAAGATCCTGGACGTAATCCTACTCATGATGAGCTCCAACCAGTCAATTTATGTGATGCGCCTTGTCTTCGCTACCCAGCGTTCTGTCATAACTAAGGTATATTGACCCGGGCCGATGTACCAATGTAGTGGTGATGGAGCAACACAGAGTATTCATTACAACTTGATACTGTCTGATATGGTACCGTACACAGAGTATTCATTACAACTTGATACTGTCTGATATGGTACCGTACACAGAGTATTCATTACAACTTGATACTGTCTGATATGGTTGATTTAGTAACTAAAATTGTGTTGCAGTTCCCGCATATCATATTTGAAGAAGAGACTGACCAGTGTTCCTCTCTCTGTTACCACTTGTTGAGACACTGTGCAAGTTCTATCAAGGAAGTCAGGGAGGAAGCTATCGCCAGCATCTACCTTCTCATGAGACAAAACTACGAGAGTGTCGGGGTAAATATTATCTTTCATAGCTTTCAACATTTCAGATTGATATACATTAATATTTTCACTGGCGGACGTGTCACCCTCCCCCCCACCCTCTTTATTACATTGATATTTTCTCGCCAAATTTTATGCAGCAAACACGAAACTAGATCTATCCAAACAGTCCAATTATAAGGAAGTCAAGAATTTTACCGAAGTAATCACTACTATATCACGGTCGCATCGTTCACAGACTTTCATCAAGCACGACCGTTTTATGCCCTTTCACTGTTTTTCTCGTTCACAATTATCAGAAGTTGTTCGGCAGGTTTATTTTTAGTTCAAAATATTCTAATTCAATGTTAAGGCCAGGGGGTATCACTTTTTATTTTATATATATGTGATCACAAGGAAATATTTCCTGTAGATCCTTGGTATATAAGCAACATTTGACAGAGCATAGTGTGGAGTGAGCTATGTGCCTGTAGATCCTTGGTATATAAGCAACATTTGACAGAGCATAATGTGGAGTGAGCTATATGTGCCTGTAGATCCTTGGTATATAAGCAACATTTGACAGAGCATAGTGTGGAGTGAGCTATGTGCCTGTAGATCCTTGGTATATAAGCAACATTTGACAGAGCATAGTGTGGAGTGAGCTATGTGCCTGTAGATCCTTGGTATATAAGCAACATTTGACAGAGCATAGTGTGGAGTGAGCTATATGTGCCTGTAGATCCTTGGTATATAAGCAACATTTGACAGAGCATAGTGTGGAGTGAGCTATGTGCCTGTAGATCCTTGGTATATAAGCAACATTTGACAGAGCATAGTGTGGAGTGAGCTATGTGCCTGTAGATCCTTGGTATATAAGCAACATTTGACAGAGCATAGTGTGGAGTGAGCTATGTGCCTGTAGATCCTTGGTATATAAGCAACATTTGACAGAGCATAGTGTGGAGTGAGCTATGTGCCTGTAGATCCTTGGTATATAAGCAACATTTGACAGAGCATAGTGTGGAGTGAGCTATGTGCCTGTAGATCCTTGGTATATAAGCAACATTTGACAGAGCATAGTGTGGAGTGAGCTATGTGCCTGTAGATCCTTGGTATATAAGCAACATTTGACAGAGCATAGTGTGGAGTGAGCTATGTGCCTGTAGATCCTTGGTATATAAGCAACATTTGACAGAGCATAGTGTGGAGTGAGCTATATATGCCTGTAGATCCTTGGTATATAAGCAACATTTGACAGAGCATAGTGTGGAGTGAGCTATATGTGCCTGTAGATCCTTGGTATATAAGCAACATTTGACAGAGCATAGTGTGGAGTGAGCCATGCGCCCATCCTTGGAGAACCCGGTGAATGTCCCTGTACGGCAGTGTTAAACAAGGAACTGAAACCGAGGGGTTCCGTTCAGGCCCTTCACACTTTGTTTCTGTCTAGTTCCAATGTACCGTCACAATAGTGACTTTAAAATATATATATATATCCACCAGCGGGCTATATTTGCGCCAGCAGGCCCGCCCAGCCCGCTAGTTAGAAGACCTGATATTTCCCAGCCCGCTGATATAGCCCGCATGAAATTTGTCCAGTAGCGATATAGCCCGGATATAGGATATGAGTTTCACTTTATTTGTGTGCCCGGTAGGGCTGCTGATGCAGCTCGCGAGCAGATTACATGAAACTTAGTGTAGTATCTTAAACTGACGTTAAACACGCTTCAAACTTTAACTATACGAACACACAAAATCACAAATTCCCACACAGCTCAAATTTTTGGGGCCTAAGAGTTAAACTATTCGATTCGACTTTACTATGTATTTTAATAGTTCCCACGGCTCAAGGAATGCACTATATACCACTTATCCTCAGCCACTATACCACGCAGCGCAATATGATTGGCTCACATTGTGAACACGTGACGTGTTGCTATGGTTGCAAAATTTCGTGACGACTTTAAGTCTTATTTGATGTTTATACACGCGCTCCACTGTTTCTTTTGACTGTTCTTTTCATTTCTGCAATTGCTCACTATTTCAGTTAATAAATCTTTTCGGCCGCAATTTTGCGTGTAATTCTATTGTGTTCCCGAAAGAAATTTTGCCCTGTTTTTTGTTTTGAAACTACGTAAGTAAGTACTTCGTGATCTCGAGCTCTATGGTAACTGATGGTATTACAGTCAGTTTACACTTTACAGTTATACAGTTGATAAAGTCATGACGAGCACCCAATTCTCCAATTGTTTGATCGGCCCTACACACTGTGCACTGATTAAGTTTAACTCTCATTGTACATCTGACGTGTTGTCATGGTAACAGGAATTATTTGTTTCTCGTAGCATGGATTGATGGAGAATGGAGATACACAGTTTTAAATCTATGTTAATGATTAAGTGATTAACATCCCGTAGACTGTTCATCGATTCGGTTGATGTGTAATACCATTATACTTATAGTACGTCTTCTCCTTTTGATGGTGTAAGCTGTGTAGTAAGCTGAATTTTGTTTTTTATATTCAGGCCCGATTTGTACTTGTATTATATTGTAAATATATTGTGTAACGAATAGAAACTTGCCCTGTTTTGACACCGCCAGTCAAATATTCTTTTTGCGAATTTGACGATCTGCTCTCACGTTTTCTCCGTCTCAAACTCTCCTAGTAACTTTAGTCATATATGCTTACAGTTGACGAACTCACACTCATGGCGATGACCTACATTATGATCGTTTACATGAAGCAATAAGCTGACAAATTTTTTGATAACGGCCGGTTTTTCGTGGGTTTTCTATTCTTCTATTGTGTTCTATAATCAGTAATCTTTCCTTGTTCTGCATCTTAAACCAAAGGCAAAAGTATGATTTTCTCGTAAATTTGAAAATTGAGTTCGAAATCATTTACTTCTATTTGCTATGATTGTTGGAAACTGTAAAGCGCCCGCTCGTGGATATAATACATATCAGACTCGCCTCGCGGGTGGAATTCCGTATAGCACTCGGGCCAAACGGGCCCTCCGAGACAGCCATTTGACTGTCTCTTCCATTAAAATGACTGGGATCAGCGCGATAATTAATGATTTGCTCGGCCACAGACACTAAAAAAATCTATAGATCGCACATCTCACTTTGGCAAAACTTTGGCATAAACATTGCTCTCACATATCGTTTGCAAAGACTTGCCTATGACACAAGCCGCGCGGACAGTAGCTACCGTATCGGTATATATAATAACATAAACCCGCCACGCAAAGGGTTTATATAACAGATCATCCCGCGCTAGCGGGATGATCTGATAAACACATACGAGTGCGCGCAGCGCACGAGTTTTGTGTTAATATGTAATCCCGAAGCGCCAGCTGAGGGATTACATTTATTTAGCCCTGAGCGTGAAGTGTTTATGGATTATAATTATCTCCGGCGATTTCGACAAGGGATTTATACAGAATACATAGTCTTCATCTTCAAGTCAAATCCAACAGAAACAAGAAAGCACTCTAAAATGTAGTTGAGTCGTTGAACAGGAATTTGGTCAAAGTCATTGAAGTCACGAGCAAATCTGGATGACTGAAGCCAAGAATTAAATTTGTTTAGAGCCCAGTTGTTGACTCTAACTGTACTGTCCGGAACACGATTGGAAAGCAGTTCATCAATCTGAATGTCAAACCGATCTGTCATAGTGGAGCAATAGCTTGAACGTTAGCAGGAACAAGAGCTGGAAGGAGAGCAAGCAAAACAATACTATTTTTAGGGCACGGACAAGGGTAGCTGGCTAGTCGCCAACTTCTCACGCCACGCGTTGGAGAAATTCCAAGAATTAGCTGCTTTGGCAACGTTCCCAGGAATTTGCGTGTAAAAGAAGTGGACGGTTACGATGTTTCATATCACGTGGTGCGCTTTCGTGTCACGTGGTATAGACTCGGCGTATGCTATTGGTGGCACGTGGTACGCACGTGACGCGCCCACGTGATCGCGCGTCTAACTGTTCTACTATTATCGAGTTCTAATCAGCAGTATCATTGATTATTGTAAGTCGGAGAATTGAATGATAAACATCAGTTACGACTAAAAAGCGGGCCGGGTTTATACAAATTTCCGGGGCGGGATGATATCACCTTGAGATGTTTATCTAACAGCGGGCCGGGCTGAGTGATAATATGATCCCGCGTCGAAATCCCGGAGATATTTATATACATATCAGTGTCATAACAACGTCCCCCACAGATACCACATTCCGGCCAGCTTAACGTTCGGTCGACGCGAAAAAAATATTTGGACCAAAGGAAATATTTGTAAATGTAGGGGCAGAAAATGGTAGCGTTACTCAACTGGATCATGTCCACTCCTTCATAAACATTAAACATATTTGTTTTCAGAGTTTTTCCCGTGTCAAAATCCAGTTGACGATTGCTTTATCAAGACTACGTAGTGACAGTTCTGACACCAGAAAATGCAACGATGCCTATTTGAAGAGATCGCTGATTACTTTGCAGAACTATGCAGAAAATGACAAGGAACTTGCGTCAACTCGCTTTCCGGAGCAGGTGTTGCATTATCTTTGTGCAACCACTAATATTTTTGTAAATTCTGTGCGTTTATCCCCCATATGGTTTTACTACACGATTTACACGATTAGAAAATCTATTAGTTATACAGTAATAATAACAATTGTAAAGTATAAGATATCTTACTTCCCTCTGAAGTAGAACACTAACAGTTGATGAGAGAGCTTCAAACATGGCGATGGAGGGAATCGGTGGCATTTTTGTGTGAATATAAGGATCAGATATTTCCCAAATCATCACCATTTTGTGTATGAACTGTGATGCTGTCATTCTTCTGTTTTATAAAGTATTGCCCTCAATAATATCTAACTTTTTGTTTACAAAAAGCTGCATGCCTTGAGAAGAACTGTACATGTTATTATTCAGGTAAAAGAAGTGTCGAAGAACCTGTTCATGATCATGAGAGATACTGTCCGTATGAACGAAGTTAAGCAAGATAAAGATTCAGCCATGAGAATTGACCTTATGTACCGCATAGCGAAGGGGTATCAGAACTCTCCTGCTTTAAGAATAACCTGGCTAAAAAGTATGGCTAAAGAGCACGGCGAGGTGAGTCTAGTTCTCTATCAACATTTTTTCACCAATATTCTTTTACCGAAGGCAGATTAAGCACATACCTTAGTTCCCAAAAATTTGTGTGCCATTATATTGAGCACAATTTATTTGAGCCCGAAAAATTTGGGCAGAAAATTTGAACTCATTTGGGCGACCAAAAATTTGGGCACAAATTCTTCGAAAAATGAACGATTTTCCACTAAAAATCGTTCATTTTTAGTGAAATCTGTCATTTCACTTGGTTAAGCCATGAATGACAGATTAGAAAAATAAAATTTTAAATATTATTTCACTTGGATATGAAGAAAAAGCCATCTTTATATAGATCTCAGGGCCACAGGCTAAATGCCAAAAGTTTGGTTAGCAAAAAATTTAGCAGACGGAAAAGATTTATGCAATTTATTTGGTCTGCAAAAAATTTGGGCGAGAGGCCCGCTCAAATTTTTTGTCGCCCAAATTTTTGGGAATTAAGGTACGTTGTATAGATATGGTAAATGTAGACGAAGTGAGGAGTTATGGTAATACAAGGAATACAAGGAATACAAGGAATACAAGGAATTCTTATGTCAAATCTTAAGCTACAAAAGTAATAGTAATATCATAACGTGATTTCTAGTGATTTCTCTTCATAACCGGGGTCATCAACCTGTTGCGTCGCATGAAGGTGGTATGAGAAACGATGCATTGTTATCGGACCTTATTTTAATGCACATTAATTGAACGCTGGAGATCCTAGCGTTCATCTTAATGTCTGTTCAAATAAAGTCCGTCCGTTTAAGGTCCGTGGCCGTCCAAGTTCAAGTACGTTGAATCTTTTTCCAAAATTATTCCACTGCGAACTCATGTCTTATCTAGGATAATATAACTTAATATCAGTCAATTTTAATGTGGAATAAACTACAAATAATATCATGATAACAATATTTAAAATAATGTTTCAGAACGACCAGAAGTGTGAAGCAGCAATGTGTTACGTACACGCCGCTGCTCTGATATCCGAATACATGTACATGGTGGAGCATCAGCCCAGTCTTCCTCAGGGCTGCATAGCCTTTAAACAGATCTCTCCCAATGTACTGCAAGAGTGTGCTGTTATGGACGACGTGCTCAAACCTGATGAGGATGGTTTGTCATTTAGTTAACAGTTTAACAACACTGTGGTTTATATTCATTTATTATCAAGTGAATTATCAATTGACCGAGTAAAATCAATTTTTATGATAACAGATTACTAACAATTACTTAGAAATGAAAAGATTAAAGATTAAAGATTTCAATACTATTTCACCAATTTGATTGTTAAGTATTAAATTAATTAATTAAATTAGTATTCTTAAACAGGCATGTTAATTAATCAATTAAATTAGTATTCTTAAACAGGCATGTTAATTAATTAATTAAATTAGTATTCTTAAACAGGCATGTGCACTGGTGGTGAGTTCTCGGAGAAGGGCATTACAAATCTGCTGAGACAAAGCGCAGATTTGTTGATGGAGTCCAACATGTACGAATCTGTGGACAAAGTGTACAACCTTTTGTCAAAGATTTACCTGTCCAGGCGAAACAACCATTACCTGGGTGGCTTGCACAGGAATCTACACACTGCTTATGAAAAGATGTATCACATGGGCAAAAAACGTCAAATGGGATGCTATTTCCGTGTAGCGTTCTATGGCGAAAAGTTTAACGACTTGAACGGTGTGACGATGATTTACAAGGAAAAGCCTTTCACCAAGTTGCCGGAGATTGCACACAGGCTGCAGAATATGTATTACGAGCAGTTCGGTGACGAATTTGAATTTATTTCTGATTCTAAGAGAATTGATCCAGATACAATAGACCCGTATCGAGCTTATGTGCAAGTAACGTATGTGGAGCCCTTTTTTGAGGATTATGAAAAAAAGTACAGGAAGGAGGATTTTGAATATAGCTATAACGTGGACAGATTTTACTACTCTACTCCTTTTACTCATTCGGGGTCAGCTCACGGAGCAGTTGGGGAACAGTTCAAGCGAGTAACCGTTCTCACGACCGAGTTCTCATTTCCGTACGTCAAAAACAGACTACAAGTTGTCGACATCAAGGAGAGAGTGATGACGCCAATTGAAGTTGCCACTGAAGACATGATGAGGAAGAATGAGGAATTTGACGAGGTATTGAGGACGAATAGGGACGGCAAGGTGGACGTGAAGATGTTGCAGATGATTATACAGGGAGCTATTGGGACTACAGTTAACCAGGTAAGAGTAGTGAGCTATTGGGACTACAGTTAACCAGGTAAGAGTAGTGAGCTATTGGGACTACAGTTAACCAGGTAAGAGTAGTGAGCTATTGGGACTACAGTTAACCAGGTAAGAGTAGTGAGCCCCCGCTATTGGGACTACAGTTAACCAGGTAAGAGTAGTGAGCTATTGGGACTACAGTTAACCAGGTAAGAGTAGTGAGCTATTGGGACTACAGTTAACCAGGTAAGAGTAGTGAGCTATTGGGACTACAGTTAACCAGGTAAGAGTAGTGAGCCCCCGCTATTGGGACTACAGTTAACCAGGTAAGAGTAGTGAGCCCCTGCTATTGGGACTACAGTTAACCAGGTAAGAGTAGTGAGCTATTGGGACTACAGTTAACCAGGTAAGAGTAGTGAGCTATTGGGACTACAGTTAACCAGGTAAGAGTAGTGAGCCCCCAGCTATTGGGACTACAGTTAACCAGGTAAGAGTAGTGAGCTATTGGGACTACAGTTAACCAGGTAAGAGTAGTGAGCCCCCGCTATTGGGACTACAGTTAACCAGGTAAGAGTAGTGAGCTATTGGGACTACAGTTAACCAGGTAAGAGTAGTGAGCCCCCGCTATTGGGACTACAGTTAACCAGGTAAGAGTAGTGAGCTATTGGGACTACAGTTAACCAGGTAAGAGTAGTGAGCTATTGGGACTACAGTTAACCAGGTAAGAGTAGTGAGCTATTGGGACTACAGTTAACCAGGTAAGAGTAGTGAGCCCCCGCTATTGGGACTACAGTTAACCAGGTAAGAGTAGTGAGCTATTGGGACTACAGTTAACCAGGTAAGAGTAGTGAGCTATTGGGACTACAGTTAACCAGGTAAGAGTTATGAGCTATTGGGACTACAGTTAACCAGGTAAGAGTAGTGAGCCCCCGCTATTGGGACTACAGTTAACCAGGTAAGAGTAGTGAGCTATTGGAACTACAGTTAACCAGGTAAGAGTAGTGAGCCCCCGCTATTGGGACTACAGTTAACCAGGTAAGAGTAGTGAGCTATTGGGACTACAGTTAACCAGGTAAGAGTAGTGAGCTATTGGGACTACAGTTAACCAGGTAAGAGTAGTGAGCCCCTGCTATTGGGTCTACAGTTAACCAGGTAAGAGTAGTGAGCCCCCGCTATTGGGTCTACAGTTAACCAGGTAAGAGTAGTGAGCCTCCGCTATTGGGACTACAGTTAACCAGGTAAGAGTAGTGAGCCCCCGCTATTGGGACTACAGTTAACCAGGTAAGAGTAGGGAGCTATTGGGACTACCGTTAACCAGGTAAGAGTAGTGAGCTATTGGGACTACAGTTAACCAGGTAAGAGTAGTGAGCTATTGGGACTACAGTTAACCAGGTAAGAGTAGTGAGCCCCTGCTATTGGGACTACAGTTAACCAGGTAAGAGTAGTGAGCTATTGGGACTACAGTTAACCAGGTAAGAGTAGTGAACCCCTGCTATTGGGACTACAGTTAACCAGGTAAGAGTAGTGAGCTATTGGGACTACAGTTAACCAGGTAAGAGTAGTGAGCTATTGGGACTACAGTTAACCAGGTAAGAGTAGTGAGCTATTGGGACTACAGTTAACCAGGTAAGAGTAGTGAGCTATTGGGACTACAGTTAACCAGGTAAGAGTAGTGAGCTATTGGGACTACAGTTAACCAGGTAAGAGTAGTGAGCTATTGGGACTACAGTTAACCAGGTAAGAGTAGTGAGCTATTGGGACTACAGTTAACCAGGTAAGAGTAGTGAGCTATTGGGACTACAGTTAACCAGGTAAGAGTAGTGAGCTATTGGGACTACAGTTAACCAGGTAAGAGTAGTGAGCTATTGGGACTACAGTTAACCAGGTAAGAGTAGTGAGCTATTGGGACTACAGTTAACCAGGTAAGAGTAGTGAGCCCCTGCGCGCCAATTTCTCGTTGTTATGGTGACGGACGGGAAGGAAATCTAAACCTACCCCAATGACAAACTTACGAGGATCCTGGGAGTCCCAATCCACGAGCAAGAAATATTGTTCGTAGTCTGAGTTATTGCCAATTTAGATAAGTTCGTGATACGAACTAATACTGTATTATTTAAGTTCGTACGAGCGCCTGGTTCCAGGACTGAGCTTACAATTATTCATAAAAGTTCGTGGCGGTTCCTAGGCTCGTTCCAAGCATGTTCGTATTAAGTTCGTATTTCATTTCTGTGGCTGTGGAGCATGTCAAATAGTGATTTTTCTTGGGGATGCACCAGTCGACTTTGCTAAAACTTTCATATGTTGTTCCCAGGACTTATATGATTACATTGTGACTGTAAAACAACGACAGTAGAACTTGAAAGTGTTCAAACACAAGAAAATTATTCAATAATAGTACTAATTACTTCTAGGCATTCTGCGTGAGCAAAATTGTCAAAAATTTTTGCCTGCGGCAAAAGAACTTTATTTCTTCTTTGCAAATAGTGAAGTACGTTCCAGCTGTGGGAAAATGGCGGTGCAATGCAGCGCCGGCTCACATTTGACCTATTACTAACAGGTGCCCTCCAAAATGGCGGTGCAAAGCAGCGCCGGCTCACATTTGACCTATTACTAACAGGTGCCCTCCAAAATGGCGGTGCAAAGCAGCGCCGGCTCACATTTGACCTATTACTAACAGGTGCCCTCCAAAATGGCGGTGCAAAGCAGCGCCGGCTCACATTTGACCTATTACTAACAGGTGCCCTCCAAAATGGCGGTGCAAAGCAGCACCGGCTCACATTTGACCTATTACTAACAGGTGCCCTCCAAAATGGCTGTGCAAAGCAGCACCGGCTCACATTTGATCTATTACTAACAGGTGCCCTCCAAAATGGCGGCGCTAAGCAGCGCCGGCTCACATTTGACCTATTACTAACAGGTGCCCTCCAAAATGGCTGTGCAAAGCAGCACCGGCTCACATTTGACCTATTACTAACAGGAGCCCTCCAAAATGGCGGTGTAAAGCAGCACCGGCTCACATTTGACCTATTACTAACAGGTGCCCTCCAAAATGGCGGCGCTAAGCAGCGCCGGCTCACATTTGACCTATTACTAACAGGTGCCCTCTAAAATGGTGGTGCAAAGCAGCACCGGCTCACATTTGACCTATTACTAACAGGTGCCCTCTAAAATTGCGGTGCAAAGCAGCACCGGCTCACATTTGACCTATTACTAACATTTGCCCTCCAAAATGGCGGTGCAAAGCAGCACCGGCTCACATTTGACCTATTACTAACAGGTGCCCTCCAAAATGGCGGTGCAAAGCAGCGCCGGCTCACATTTGACCTATTACTAACAGGTGCCCTCCAAAATGGCGGTGCTAAGCAGCGCCGGCTCACATTTGACCTATTACTAACAGGTGCCCTCCAAAAATTTGGTTCCACGAACACCTCAAGTAGTTTTGTCATTGGGAAACCTGCCTTCTCCGTTCTCCGAAATCCATCTTTTTTCTGGAAAAACGACCATTCGTAATCTTTCACAAGACATGGTGTCTTTTTCAGGGACCATTCGAGATAATTGAAACATTTCTGGGGGAAGATGCTCGGAAACCTGAAGTGCAAGATGACAAGTACCTTCGGTATCGGAACAGGTTGAAGTTCCAATGCAAGACATTCCTCAACAAGTGAGTCGATACTATTCTCATAATATGTAACACAAATAGACTCGCCCGAGAATTAGTGTATACAAATAGACATATCTTCTAAAGGAAAATACCTTTTTGTTATTAAATTGGGAGGTGTTCAACCCCAAAAAAACCATTTAATATATATACTATTTAATATATAACCTCAAATTTCCATTTTGGGAATGGTTTTTTTTTGGGTTTTTTCCTGTTTCTGTAACCTTTTGTCTAATCCGCCTACATTGAAAACAAAATCCCTAGAGGCACTCTTTTCAATGTTGTGCTGTTTGTCTTTGTTTTTTAAACCTATACTGGCCCTTTCCCTCCCCTGCCCTTCGCTCCAGGTTTACTGTGTTCATCTGGTTCGTCCATCAAGTTGGTATTTCTCCAGTACCTAATACCAGTCTTTGTTTTTCTTGTGCTTCTTCTTTAGGGATGACTTCGGATGTTTCAGAATCGTTTGTGTGTTCTCTCACTCGATTAACATAGTCCTGCTTATCCAAAAAGAAGTATTTTGATTCTTTATCTGCTGGTCTGACAACAATGTTTTTTTCCATGTCTGTGAGAGCTTTTCTTGATTCAGAAGTGAAGCTGTTTAAAGGTTTTGATCTTGTGCCACTATTGGTTTGGAGCAAATCTTTTGTGACCCTTTCAATGTATAGTTATAGGCAGTGGTTGTTGACTACTTTGATTGCTTTGGCGTCTCTTGAGCGTATCAACTTTGTCTCCATTTGTATAATTGCTGCTTGTTGTTGGCTCAGCTACTTTGTTTTTTGGCGGGTGCAAATCTAATGCAATACCAAGCCCATCTCAGTTAATACGCGAATTGGAGAATATCGAGGCTGAACTTATAGTAATCAGGTAAAGGAGGTGTAGGATTTCCGAAAATAAAACAAATGCAGCTGATGTCATGATATGCTTTCTGTCTTGGTGGATAAGTTAATTACACAGCCACGTAACTTTTCTTTTATAGTTTTATGATGTTGCTGATGGCAGGTAATAATCCTTTCATCTGGACACGTCTTTTCCTACTGGGGCTCAGTAGTCAGTAGTATATTATAGTTCTTTCATTCAAATTTCTGATTGTTTCTGAATAGACTCAGCGAAGACAGATTCTAATGGAAATAAATAGTGAGTGTTGGTTTCTTTTCAACTAAAAATCGGGCTTCTTTAATCTATCTGTTGATGAGTGATGTTCCTCTATCTACGATTTGAAGTTTAAGCTTTGGGGGGCCTGTGTGCTGAGGGTGACTTTCCCTGTAGTGCTTTGCTAGTGGCTTATCTTCGTAAGATTTTGCTGTTGGGTTTTTCGTACTACGGTAATGCTCGTCGTGGTTTGTATGTCTCCCCGCCTCTACTTCGCAAGTGATGTGGTAGACGGTGTTTGTTGTGGTGCATTCTCCATCGGATAAAGCTGTGCATGTTCTGCAGTTTGATGTTGTGCATGATTTCTTGTCAAGGGGTCTGGAGTCTGTAAGGAGATCCTTCAGTTTCCGTCCAGGTTTCTCGGCAATTTTGATGGAGAGTCCATTATGTCTGACAGCATCTCTGTATTTGCGACTAGTAGCTTTCGTTGACATATGTAGTTTGAGAATCGCTCCGTCTTGATCTTTGTTCTGTGTAATCTGATCTCTTTCTACGTTTTCTCTTGTTCTTTATGGTGTCTAAGACTCTATCGGTGTAGCCGTTGTTAATGAAAAGTTGATCTATCATCTTTTCTGAGTACTTTTCGTTTTTTGTTGTTGTTAGAGACTGCCTCTGCGGTGTTGTACATACTCTCAACAGTAGCATTCTTTGTACTCTTTGTACGTGTTATATGATGAGCGTTGTAGTGGAGGGTGAGTGGTTTTTTTTTCTGTGGTTTTCTATAGAGTCTAGAATGTACTATTTCATCTGAGCCGATCTTTATTTCCGTACTGAGGAACAAAGTGTTGAGGAACAAAGTCGTTCTGATTGTCAGGGTAGTCTACAGTTAGTTTGATAAGTTTGTCAGGATCTTGTTGTTCGATGAGGTTGCACAGTTGATGGGCTTTTCGTCTGTTGGTGGTGGCTCCGTTTAGATCGTCGTAAAAAAGTATATTATATATTATACAGTATACACCGATTAGAATTATTAGGTCTTTTAACTTAAGTTTTACTTCCTTACTCTAGTTAATAATACAAATGAAACATATTATTATTGGCAATGGGGATGATGGAGGATAACATAATATATAAACTTGGTCTTTAATGAATGTAATTGTAGGTGTAAATAAAACCAATTCTAACTTTCTTTTTTTTTTCTTAACTCAAAAATACCCAAAAAAACCCAACTCTATACCTGAAATTTCCATTTTGGGAATGGTTTTTTGGGGTTGGACACAAAATTGTCTGTGTGTTAAAAAAGTGTATATGTTATAAAAGTGTATATGTTATAGAAGTGTATATGTTATAGAAGTGTATATGTTATAGAAGTGTATATGTTATAAAAGTGTATATGTTATAAAAGTGTATGTGTTATAAAAGTGTATATGTTATAAAAGTGTATATGTTATAAAAGTGTCTGTGTTATAAAAGTGTATATGTTATAAAAGTGTATATGTTATAAAAGTGTATATGTTATAGAAGTGTATATGTTATAAAAGTGTATATGTTATAGAAGTGTATATGTTATAAAAGTGTATATGTTATAGAAGTGTATATGTTATAGAAGTGTATATGTTATAAAAGTGTCTGTGTTATAAAAGTGTATATGTTATAAAAGTGTATATGTTATAAAAGTGTATATGTTATAGAAGTGTATATGTTATAAAAGTGTATATGTTATAGAAGTGTATATGTTATAAAAGTGTATATGTTATAGAAGTGTATATGTTATAAAAGTGTCTGTGTTATAAAAGTGTATATGTTATAGAAGTATATATGTTATAAAAGTGTATATGTTATAGAAGTGTATATGTTATAGAAGTGTATATGTTATAAAAGTGTATATGTTATAGAAGTGTATATGTTATAAAAGTGTCTGTGTTATAAAAGTGTATATGTTATAAAAGTGTATATGTTATAGAAGTGTATATGTTATAGAAGTGTATATGTTATAAAAGTGTATATGTTATAGAAGTGTATATGTTATAAAAGTGTATATGTTATAGAAGTGGGGGGGGGTCCAACCCGATGTCCGATATGAGGGTTGATGAGGCCAAAATCGGAATCGGAAAAATCGGAAAAATCGGAAAATTGAGAAATTTTAGAGAATCGATCTCTAAAACTACCTCTCAGAAGTGAGGAAGTGATAAAAAAACCCCTACATATGCTATATTGTTATGAGAAAACGAACTAATTGGACATTCCAATAGTATGTTTTATGTGTTTTTCCACTGCAGGGGCTAGTATGCTCACTACTAGTTGGAGTTGTCATGTACTCCCAGACCCGAGTGCTTTGGCCTCTTGACGTGAGATCGATTGTTTCTGCTCATTAATTTTATCCCTGTTACTTGTTATTATGTATTAGTACAACACTAGGGTTATATTTTGTGGTCCGGTCTTTAATTAAACATACCATAATATCACTAGTACACTGCACCTTAAATGTATAGTCAAGTACATTTGTATCGTAACACATGCTTGGCTGGGGGATCATGTTTTGTGTCCGTTCGGTACCCTGTATTTTCAAAACGGACAAAAAGTAGGGCGGACAAAAACAGACAAAACATTTAGATGTCCTCCTCCTCCTCCTCCTAAGTCTTCCTCCTCCTGAGTCCTTCTCCTCCTCAGTCCTCTTCAGTCCTCTTCCTGACTCCTCGTCCTCGTCCTCGTCCTTCTCCTCAGTCCTCCTCACCCTCCTCCTCAATCCCCTTCTCCTCCTCAGTCCTACTCCCAGTCCTCCTCCTTCTCCTTCTCCTTCTCCTCCTCCTCATCCTCATTTCTCCTCCTGATCCTCCTTCTCCTCCCCATCAGGCATCAGTTCTCCTTAGTCCTCCTCATAGTCGTCCTCCTCCTCCTGAGTCCTTCTCATCCTCCTCCACCTCCTGAGTCCACCTCCTGAGTCCTCCTCCTCAGTCCTCATCCTCCTCCTCAGTCATCATCCTCTTCCTCCTGAGTCCTCCCCCAGTCCTCCTCCTCCTTCTCCTCCTCATCCTCCTCCTCCTTCTCCTCCTCATCAGTCCTCATCCTCTGTCCTCCTCATAATCGTCCTCGTCCTCATCCTCGTCCTTAGTCCTCCTCCTCCTTATCCTCCTCCTCAGTCCTCCCCCAGTCCTAATCCTCCTCCTTCTCCTCCTCCTCCTACTCCTCCTCCTCCTTCTCCTCTTTCTTCTCCTCCTAATCATTCCTCCTCCTCAGTCGTCCTCCGCCTCCTCCTCGTCCTTAGTCCTCGTCCTCTTCAGTATTCCTCCTCAGTCCTCCTCAGTCCTCATCCTCCTCATCCTCCTCCTCCTCCTCAGTCCTCCTCCTCCTTCTCCTCTTCCTTCTCCTCCTAATCAGTCCTCCTCCTCAGTCGTCCTCCTCCTCTTCATTAGCCCTTGTCCTCATCCTCCTAGTCCTCGTCCTTAGTCCTCGTCCTCATCCTCCTCAGTCTTCCTCCTCAGTCCTCATCAGTCTCATCGTCCTCATCCTCCTCCCCAAGTCCTCCTCTTCCTCAGTCCTCCCCCAGTCCTCCTTCTCATCCTCCTCATCCTCTTCAGTCGTCATCTTGTTCCTCCACAGTCCTCCTCTTCCTCCTACTCGTCAGTCCTCCTCCTCCTCCTTCTCCTCAGTCCTCCTCCTCCTCCGCAGTCCTTCTCCTCCTCGTCAGTCCTCCTCCTCGCCAGTCCTCCTTCTCCTTCTTCTCCTCCTACTCCTAAGTCCTCCTCCTCCTCCTCAGTCCTCCTCCTCCCTCTCATCCTTTTCCTCCTTCTCCTCCTTCTCCTCCTACTCCTAAGTCATCCTCCTGCTCCTCAGTCCTCCCCCAGTCCTCCTCCTCATCAGTCCTCCCCCAGTCCTCCTTCTCCTCCTCCTCATCCTCAGTCCTCCTCCTCATCATCCTCCTCAGTCCTCCTCCTCCTCAGTCCTCCCTAAGTCCTCCTCTTCCTCAGTCCTCCCTAGTCCTCCTTCTCCTCCTCCTCATGCTCAGTCCTCCTCCTCATCCTCAGTCCTCCTCCTCAGTCCTCCTCGTCCTTAGTCCTCCCCCAGTCCTCCTTCTCCTCATCCTCAGTCCTCCTCCTCAGTCCTCGTCCTTCTCCTTTTTAACAGTCCTCCTCCTCAGTCTTCCTCCTCGTCCTCGCTCTCGTCCTCCTCCTTCTCGTCTTCTTCCACACCAATCCTGCTCCTCTTCCTCAGTCCTCCCTCTCCTCTTCAGTCCTCCTCCTCCTCAGTCCTCCTCGGTCCTCCTCTTTCTCCTCAGTCTTCCTCCTTTTCCTCCTCCTCCTCATTTCTCTTCCTCATCCTCCTCCTCCTTCTTCTCTTCCTTCTCCTCCTAATCAGTCCTCCTCCTAATCAGTCCTCCTCCTCAGTCGTCCTCCTCCTCGTCCTTAGTCCTGGTCCTCATCCTCCTAGTCCTCGTCCTCATCCTCCTAGTGCTCGTCCTGGTCCTCCTCAGTCTTCCTCCTCTGTCCTCCTCAGTCCTCCTTCTCCTCAGTCCTCCTCCTCCTCCTCATCAGTTTACACAATTTATTGTTACTAAAATGTTTTTAAACGCATTTGAGTCTGTAACATATTGACATGTTACTGTTACTGACTCAAAATGTGCCCGAGAATTTTTTTGTTTAACAGAGTTTTACTCTCCAGTACTATGGAAAAGTTGTTACATGATAAATAAAGATTTTGATAAATAAAGTGATTTTCATCCCTTTTAATGTTATTGAAAATTGTGTAGACTATTCTTTGTATCTAACTGAGGATTGGAAGTTTGAGAAAGGACCATAGTCATTAACCGTGCTACCCATTTCTGCAGATAGCCTGTTACAAATTGTGGAGACAATTTAAATCAAAAGTTACTAAAGCGTTCGCTATTTGTTACGATTGTTATTACCAACCGTACCTCTTTCAATTGTGGACCGGGGTGGATGTTTCTGTCAAACAATGCAAGAGTTGGTACGACATTGTGTTGTTTTTCGGACGAAACGATTCTTGTTTGGAACAAGATACCATTTTGGGGTTCTGGGACCACCACCAATCGATTTCTTGTCATATTTAAGTACAGAAATAGCTACCTATATCGCCTAGAAACCTCAGAGGGAAGATTTAAATTTTCCCGATTTTTCCGATATGAGGGTTGATGAGGCCAAAATCGGGATCGGAATGATCGGAATTGATCGGGTTGGACCCCCCCCCCCCCCCCCCCAGAAGTGTATATGTTATAAAAGTGTCTGTGTTATAAAAGTGTATATGTTATAAAAGTGTATATGTTATAGAAGTGTATATGTTATAAAAGTGTATATGTTATAGAAGTGTATATGTTATAAAAGTGTATATGTTATAGAAGTGTATATGTTATAAAAGTGTATATGTTATAGAAGTGTATATGTTATAAAAGTGTATATGTTATAAAAGTGTATATGTTATAAAAGTGTATATGTTATAAAAGTGTATATGTTATAAAAGTGTATATGTTATAAAAGTGTATATGTTATAAAAGTGTATATGTTATAAAAGTGTATATGTTATAAAAGTGTATATGTTATAGAAGTGTATATGTTATAAAAGTGTATATGTTATAAAAGTGTCTGTGTTATAAAAGTGTATATGTTATAAAAGTGTCTGTGTGTAGTGTCTAAGTGTTATGAAGTTATGAAATTGTCTTTGTTATAGTTAAGCACATTATCTGCAAATCATGTTAAAAGTCTAAAAGTTTTTATTATCGGCGATCACGTAATTTCATCAATTGTTATGTTTTGTGTTAGAAAGGTCGTAGAGACTGTTCTGTAGATGCAAAATGTGCCAATTAGTTACATCGGGGCCCGGGGGCAAACATATTAGACTATATTAATGTATATCCCGGAGTTAAATCGCAAACAAATCTATATTTTGATACACTTTATTATACCTAAAATTGTTCTAGTCATATCCTTTGTTTAGATTGGCAAGATACATGAAGTTTTATCCAGTTTGGACAAAAAATGGCTGTATTATGAACAAATAATCATATTGCACTATTGTAATTGTTTGTGTACTATTTTTTTTTGGATTGCCTGCGGATTGTATGCACAGAATTATGACGCAAACTGGAAATCAAGCGTCATTCTTGTTAGAATTTCAAATTAAAATATAATTTTCACCACAGTATAAAGGCGGCTTTAAACGAAAACCGGAACATAATCGGAACGTTTCAAGAAGACTATCAGAGGGAGGTTTGATATTTTTGATTATTTGCTATTGATTCGGCAGCTCCCAACAATTTAATTGCAAAAAGATTTAAAACATCTCAGCACCATACCAAAATCAATTCCACTTTAAGGAAATGTGAAACACCAATCACCGAACCAATAAATCTCGAAAAATTTCAAATCCGAGCAAAGTTATGATCAGAAAATTGCATCAAGCGCCGAAAAAACTGATGCAGATTGCAGAATTTTCGCAGATGCCGGAAAAATCAAAAAGCTACAACTCAAAAAGAGGCGCCGTTAAAGGCACATTTCCAGTGATCAAATTTCATTTATTTATCTGGCGTTGCTTCTCCTTCGCATTCAACTTTTGTATAAATGCCAAACATATATTTTTAAGTAATAGTCAGTCATGCGCCTGACAGAACATTGGATCAGGGCTTTAGCATGGTACTTCCTAGGCCCTAAACGTCCAAACTTTTGCCACTTAGTGATTTGTTGACACATATGACTGATCTAAAAATTATGATCAGCCCCAGTTTTAGCCAGTTGGTTTTAAAGAGAATATTTCTTTGTAGTGACCGACTCGATTTATTGGTGACATCCAAAAGTTAATGGTGGACCAACAGCTTTATTGATATTACATCTGATTAATCATTACTTAAATAATGTTGATGAGCGCCGATTTAATTGTTTTAAGCATGACATTTATTTTTTAAACAATTAGGTATTTAATATCCTCTACTAATACTAGTTAATATTAATAACCTTTATTTTTCAGATGGAAGAAAATCTAAAGAAATTCAAGTTGGCAGTCGCACCTTTTATCTTTAATTCACAAACTCAGGCCGAGGTCAAGCACAATCTAAATAAATCCTAGTGAGTAGGAGCAGGTATAATTGAATTATAAAAGCACCCTATTAAATATATGTCCATCGAATGCACGATAAAAGTAAGCTTGGAACTTGTGTTAAATTAACTGAACTGGATAAATCTGTTATTCGTTAGATTTGTTCTGATCTAAGAGACAATCGCATAGATTGGGTTGTTCCAATTACTAACCCTAATAAACGTTAATAACTGTAGTTTTAACACCTTGACATACGCTTGATGAGGTAATATTTGTTTACAAGAGTATTATACCCAACAATGACCGGCGAACTGATAGCTACTTCAGAAGCAATGAAACTACGATCTTCTAAATAAAATGAGTCATAGTACTTTCAGCCGGAGCCATCATAAGTGACATAAATCTAAAAGATAGTATGGTTAGTTTCTAAATATAAACTCAAACTCTGGAAAGGAAACTGCTGTGATAAATGAAACATCAATAAATGGACCAAGTATATTTAAAAATAATTTATGGAAAGCCCCTCGGACAAAATAAAAATTAATTATGCAGTAAAGGAATCTTGAAAGGGTTTGTACTATTCATTCCTGAGGGGCGAAGAGACTTTAAGGCATGTATATATCGGTGTTCCTTTACATCTAAACTACTAGGACTTGAATTTTCTAGGATACACACTGAAACACTATTGTTAAAATTTTCCTTCTGAGACAATCCATGCTCTATATGGAGGTGGAGTCCTATATTTGTTTACCTCGACTTTGACAAATTAGCAACTTTTAGCATCGATTTAACACTATCATAGTGCCCCTTATCCAGAAACACGCAAATCTGACTTAAAGGGAAATTTCGGTTCGGGAGGAAGTTTTATGCGCCAAAGAGGAAATTTCTAAAATGAAAATGAACATTTTTAGGATAAGGAAATGTTACTTTGGGGAAATTTTAAACTTTCTGATTGGGGATAAAAAGCGAGATTTACATTGTAGTAAAATTCTGAAAATCTACCGAAAGTCGTTTCTAGCTTGCCACTTTATTAAAAAACGGCTATTGAAGTCCTGAGTGCTAATTTTTTAAATAATTTGTGAAAACTCCTATTTTTTATTATTATTCACTGGATTTGAGTAATCCCCTTGGTTTTTAGGCTCTGCTCGCACTAATTCGCTCGCCCAACATTTTACAAATCGTGTGACTGTGAATAGGCAGTGAGGGTATGAAAGTAGCGTCTTTCAATGTATTTTTGGACGCTGATTCCGATTCACCCATTACCCATAACATGACATAGGGTCCAAATGCTTCCATGAGGAGTTTTGGGCAAGCAACTGTTTTGGTGACATGACAGGATAGTAAAACACTAATTCTATTTTTTACGGTTTAGGTTAAGGTAAGCGCCATATATGTTATACTCCCATATGCACTGCTCAGAACGAAAATCTATTGTTGTCAGGCACTATAATGGTTAAAATGTCAATTTTTTGTGACTTTGTTTACTATAGCTCTAGCTGCCCAATTAGCATCCTTAGTCTAAAATATAGTAGATTATGTCAATCTAACAATTATGATACAATATTGGTGAAAGGGCACGGATCGAGCGGTTATAAGGCAATATTTCGTCAACTTTGTCACACTCAGAATACGATACCTCTTTTTTACTGTGAGGTGTCCTAAAAACCCTTTCAACTCATTATTTTATAGTTTTTCTACGATCTTAGTCCTAAAAATAAAATATGCTGTTTTGAATGGTTGCCTAATACAAGCACATAAAAATGTCGATAAACTAGTCATTTTCCAGCAAGGAGCAAACAGAGTTATAATATTTTTTTGTGACGAAACTAACCCTTTTTTTGCCATGTTGCGATGTTTCAATTGTGACACTGTAAACATATTACTACCACATAATAATTTATGTGATTGGTGTGTGGTTGTAATAGTGTTGATTGATCCAATACGTAATATAGGATGTTTAAGGGGAGATACACCAACAACGTTTTTGCTCCGAACATCGATTTTATTTTATATTATGGTTAAATAGACAAAAAGAATAAGATTGCATACCTTCAAAGTTTTCTAAAAATATTCCCTTGAGAAAAATATATATTTTTCTTTTTCGAAAATTTTTAAAATTTGGAGAAGTCTGTCACTGTGATACCGATAGTTCGGCCATTTTAAAAGTTTTTTGGCTGATTTTTTACTGAACATTACTAACAATCCGTACAAGAAGCCAATGAAAGGATTATTATATATAATTGAACGATAAATGACGAGGTTACAGACCAAACAAGGTCGAAAAAATAAAAATTGAAATTTTTCCCACTTCTAAAGTTGTACATTTCACCAATCACCCGGGTCAGCAGATATCGCTTCAAAAATTCTTGTGAGTGTAGCTGATGATCATATCAAACTTTTTGGAGTAGGATTTCTCTCAGATTTGAGTTTTATAAAGAACCGCAAGAGATAAAAAGATTACCAGTAAACTAGTCATAGCAATTACATGGGCCCTGAGTGCACGTAGGAGCATGCTAGGAGTGCACGTAGGAGTAGTAGTACATGCTAGGAGTGCACGTAGGAGTAGTAGTACATGCTAGGAGTGCACGTAGGAGTACAAGGCATGCTAGGAGTGCACGTAGGAGCATGCTAGGTTTGATCCAATGTACTAAAAGTAAAAAGGTCACAGCTTGACAGCTTGAAACATTGACATTATAGAATAATTACCATTAACAGGGTTTACTCCTTAAACTTAAAAATTTTTTGAGGTCGGCTTGTTCGAGGTTTATCTGATCTTAATTCAAATTTCTTACAATCAGTGCTGCCTCGTTTATCGAACGAAACCTGTAACAACTAACAAGGTTGAAAATATATTTGGAATAAATGACTTCTGAACGACTTCTGTCTAAATGTTACTCACCACGGTAATAAGCTATCATTATGCTTGGAGGGGGATTTGTTTAACGGGTGATACTCGTAAAATATTTGACCGTCGACGAGTCCAACTCGGAACGCGTCCTGGTAGGTTGGGAGACCAATGGGCATTAATGGCAGTATTTTAATATTTTGCTCAGACTGCAATTGCCATTAATGCCCATTAATGCCCGTTGGTCCCCCCCCCCCCCCCCCCCCCCCCCGGTAAACCTACAAGGGATTTGTTTAATTTTAAAACATATAAGTGATACGAAAAGTTTGTTTTATCAGGAGCTTTCAAAATACATGTGTAAATCGTCTTCAGCTATGATGTTGTGAAGGGGTGATTATATATGATGGAGTGGTATCAATTATCATTATGATATCTATATCTGACTTAACTTCTATTAATTTACTGAATTTCAGTGATCCTGAGAACTCATTGAGTCGTACTATGTCATACGACTACAGCGGACAATCATGAAGAGGTATTTGTACAACTGGAAGCTTGATATACCCGAGACACTATTCAGTGCCGACTGCCGACAAATTATGGAATTTAAGTTTAACTTTTTAAGTACGTGATTTGATGTGACTCTATTTGGTTTTGTAAAATGAGTGCAAATTATTTTACTTAAGTTTGATTTGTAATTATGGTAATTCACCACTGATCTATATAATTTTCTTTCATATTTCGGATTTTTGATTTGAAAACAAAATGTAGCCGTTTGAGGTCCTCCGACCGTATATTAATATATATTGGTTTTCAATTTGAATAAAATTTCAGAAAGAGATTCGACTGGAATTTTAACATTTCACTCACATCTGTTATGAACATTTTCTCGATATTAACTGAAATATTTTTACTATAAAACGCTTAATCAAAAATCAAAATATTGAAGTTATTAATATTAATGAATGTTAGATACAAATAGTATCTAAGATAAAAACAGGATATTATCGAACTTTACACAAATCCAAAGTAGTTACTAAGAACATCCTAAAGACCTGATAAGTCTACTTAAAAGACTTGCAGAACTGAAAACTTACTATAAATGCAAAAAAACGGAACTTAAAACTGAAATTGTCAAAATCAAAAATCATGCAAAAAAATGAACTTAAAACTGAAATTATCAAACTAAACAAATTCAAAATAAATTTCTCCACAATTGGCGGTTCGAGGCTAAATGCCTTAAATCTGTCAAGTCGTCACTATTATTCAAATAAATATTTCTTTTGTTCAAATCGTCTAAAAAAGTTTTAAACATATTACATTGATGTCTACCAATCCTACCCCTCATATTTGACATACTATCATTATCAACAGCAAAATTTAGAGCTAGTTGAGTAGTTGTGGTGGTGAGTTACATACGAAGAATGTGCCCAAACATTTTCCAGCGGGATTTATGAACTCTCTCTGAAAGTGGAGTTACATTGCAACGACCATACAAAGATACAAGTTGCTGATGATGCGGGGGGAGCAGTTGAGCGTAGGACTGTAGGTCGGTGAAGGTCGGAAGTAGGACTGTAGAGCGGTGTCAAATCGCCAGGGTAGAGCGGCCGCCCTTATACTTATAGATCTCACAACATGAGGACTTTAGAGCGGTACGATCCTAAAATGAGGACTGTAGAGCGGTGGACTGTTTAGCGGTGGACTGTAGGCCGGTGAAGGTCGGAAGTAGGGGGGATCATGTTTTTTTTCCGTTTTTTTTCCGTTTTTGTCCGTTTGGCAGCTATATTTTCAAAACGGACAAAAAATAAAGCGGACAAAAAATAACAAAAATTGAAGTAACATTTAGATGCTTCCTCCTTTTCCTGGCTCTTACTAATTCGCTCGCCCAAAAATTTCACGTGACTTTGGTTTTTATGGTTTTGCAGCCGTACAAAACGGTTTTATATAAACCATAATCCCAACCCTAACCCTAACCATAACCCCGAAGCTAACCATAACCCTTACCACAACCCTAACCCTAACCCGAGCCATAAACAATCGAATTCGTGTTTTACTAGCCTGTCACGTGACCAAAGCGGTTTTTTTGCCCATAACTCTCCAAGTAAGCATTTTTACCCTACGTCATGGGGGTGATTCGGAATCAGCGTCCAAAAATACATCGATTCCGACCCATTTTATACCCAAAGGGCCTTTTCACAAGAATTTTCTTAAAATTTGGGCGAGCGATTTAGTAGGAGCGCCTCTTCCTCCTCCTCCTCCTCCTCCTCTTCCACCTCCTCAGTCCTCCCCCTCCTCCTGAGTCCTCCTCCTGGGTCCTCCTCCTGAGTCCTCCTCCTGACCTCCTCCTCCTCTTCATCCTCCTCATCTTCATCCTCCTCCTCTTCCTCCTCAGTCCTCAGTCCTTCTCCTCAGTCCTCCTCCTCATCCTTCTCCTCAGTCCTCCCCCAGTCACCCTTCTCCTTCTATTCAGTCCTCCTCAGTCCTCCTCCCCCTCCCTCTCAGTCATCCTCCTCAGCCATCCTCCTCAGTCCTCCTCCTCTGCAGTCCTCATCATCCTCCTCAGTCCTCCTCCTCCTGGGTCCTCCTCCTCCTCTTCATCCTCCTCCTCTTCCTCCTCAGTCCTCAGTCCTTCTCCTCAGTCCTCCTCCTCCTCAGTCCTCCCACAGTCCCCTCCTCCTCCTATTCAGTCCTCCTCCTCCTCAGTTCTCCTCCTTCTGAGTCCTCCTCATTCCTCCTTCTGAGTCCTCCTCCTCCTCTTTCTCCTGAGTCCTCCTCCTGGGTCCTCTTTCTCCTCCTCCTCCTCAGTCCTCCTCCTCCTCCCTCTCAGTCATCCTCCTCAGTCATCCTCCTCAGCCATCCTCCTCAGCGATCCTCCTCAGTCCTCCCCCAGTCCCCCTCCTCCTCCTATTCAGTCCTCCTCCTCCTCCTCAGTTCTCCTCCTTCTGAGTCCTTCTGAGTCCTCCTCCTCCTCTTTCTCCTGAGTCCTCCTCCTGGGTCCTCTTTCTCCTCCTCCTCCTCAGTCCTCCTCCTCCTCCCTCTCAGTCATCCTCCTCAGTCATCCTCCTCAGCCATCCTCCTCAGCGATCCTCCTCAGTACTCCTCAGTCCTCCTCCTTCTCAGTCGTCCTCAGTCCTCCTCCTCAGTCATCCTTCTCCTCCTCCTCCTCCTGGGGGGATCCTGTTTTTTATTCGTTTTTTCCGTTCGGAACCCTATATTATCAAAACGGACAAAAAATAGAGCGGACAAAAACGGACAAAAAATAACAAAAATGGAAATAATATTTAGATGCTTCCTCCTCTCCTCCTCCTCCTCCTCCTCCTCCTCAGTCTTCCTCAGTCATCCTCCTCCTCCTCCTCCTGGGTCCTCCTCCTGGGACCTCCTCCTCTTGGGTCCACCTCTTCATCCTCCTCCTCTTCCTCCTCAGTCCTCCTCCTCAGCTCAGTCCTCCTTCTCAGTCCTCCTCCTCATCCTTTTCCTCAGTCCTCCTCCTCCTCAGTCCTGCCCAGTCCCCCTCCTCCTCCTATTCACTCCTCCTCCTCCTCAGTCCTCCTCCTCCTCAGTCCTCCTCCTTCTCAGTCCTCCTCCTCCTCCTCAGTCCTCCTCCTCCTCAGTCATCCTCCTCAGTCCTCCTCCTCCTGGGTCCTCCTCCTCCTGGATCTTCCTAATCCTCCTCAGTCCTCTTCCTCCTCCCCTCCTCAGTCCTTCTTTTACTCCTCCTAGTCCTCAACAGTCCTCCTTCTCCCCAGTCCTCCTCCTCCTCCTCCTGGGGCCTTTTCCTGGGTCCTCCTCCTGGGTCCTCATCCTCCTGGGTCCTCCTCCTCCTGCTTCTCCTCCTCAGTCCTTCTCCTCCTCAGTCCTTCTCCTCCTCAGTCCTTCTCCTCTTCCTCCTCCTCCTCAGTCTTCCTCATATTCCTCAGTCCTCCCCTAGTCACCCTCCTCCTCAGTCCTCCCCCAGTCACCCTCCTCATCATCTTCATCCTCCTCATCAGTCCTCCTTCGCCTTCTCAGTCCTCCTCTTCAGTCCTCCTCCTCCTCCTTTTCCTGGTTCCTCCTCCTCAGTCCGCATTCTCCTCCTCAGTCCTTCTCAGTCCTTTCCCCAGTCACCCTCCTCCTCATCCTCCTCATCAGTCCTCCTTCTCCTTAGTCCTCCTCCTCAGTCCTCCTCCTCCTCCTCCTGGGTTCTCCTCCTGGATCCCTCTTCTCCTCCTCAGTCCTTCTCCTCCTCAGTTATCCTCCTCCTCCTCCTTCTCCTCCTGGGTCCTCCTCCTTCTCCTCACCAGTCCTCCTCCTCAGTCCTCCTCATCCTCTTCATCCACTTACTTCTCCTCCTCATCAGTCCTCCTCAGTCCTCCTCCTCAGTCCTCCTCCTCCTCGTCCTCAGTCCTCGTCATCAGTCCTCCTCCTCCCAAGTCATCTTCCTCCTCCTGGGGCCTTTTCCTGTGTCCTCCTCCTCCTGGGTCCTCCTCCTCAGTTCTCCTCCTCTTCCTTCTCCTCCTCAGTCTTCCTCATATTCCTCAGTCCTCCCCCAGTCACCCTCCTCCTCAGTCCTCCCCCAGTCACCCTCCTCCTCATCCTCATCCTCCTCATCAGTCCTCCTTCGCCTTCTCAGTCCTCCGGGGGGGCCAATGACTACTTTTGGGGACTTGGGGAATTACGTCAACGATTTTACCCCGAGTCCCCATGATTTTTAGTCCCCATTAGTCCCCAAAAGTCTCCATTAGTCCCCATTTAGATGATTTTTAGTCCCCAAAAGTCTCCATTAGTCCCCATTTAGATTTATCCTACTCTTATCTTGGACAAAACATCTCGATCGTAATTCGTATCGTTATTAAACTAACTTGAAAACCATAAATAACTGTCAAAAATTCTGGGGACTTATGGGGACAAATGGTGAATTACGTCAACGAGTTGACCTCTAGTCCCCATGATTTTTAGTCCCCATTAGTCCCCAAAAGTCTCCATTGGTAGTCATTGCCCCCCCCCCCCCCCCCCCCCCCCCCCCCCCCCAGTCCTCCTCTTCAGTCCTCCTCCTCCTCCTTTTCCTGGTTCCTCCTCCTCAGTCCGCATTCTCCTCCTCAGTCCTTTCCCCAGTCACCCTCCTCCTCATCCTCCTCATCAGTCCTCCTTCTCCTTAGTCCTCCTCAGTCCTCCTCCTCCTCCTCCTGGGTTCTCCTCCTGGATCCCTCTTCTCCTCCTCAGTCCTTCTCCTCCTCCTCAGTTATCCTCCTCCTCCTCCTTCTCCTCCTGGGTCCTCCTCCTTCTCCTCACCAGTCCTCCTCCTCAGTCCTCTCATCCTCTTCATCCACTTACTTCTCCTCCTCATCAGTCCTCCTCAGTCCTCCTCATCAGTCCTCCTCCTCCCAAGTCATCCTCCTCCTCTTGGGGCCTTTTCCTGTGTCCTCCTCCTCCTGGGTCCTCCTCCTCAGTCCTCCTCCTCTTCCTTCTCCTCAGTCCTTCTCCTCCACAGTCCTTCTCCTCTTCCTCCTCCTCAGTCTTCCTCCTCCTCAATCCATTCCCCAGTCACCCTCATCCTCATCCTCCTCATCAGTCCTCCTTCTCCTTCTCAGTCCTCCTTCTCAGTCCTCCTCCTCCTCTTCTTCCTGGTTCCTCCTCCTGGGTCCTCCTTCTCCTCCTCAGTCCTCCTCCTCTTCCTCCTCCTCCTGAGTCCTCCTGATCCTCCTCAGTCTTCTTCCTCCTTCTACTCCTCAGTCCTCCTCCTCAATCCTCCTCTTCCTCCTAAGTCCTCCCCTCCTCAGTCCTCCTAAGTCCTCCCCTTCTCAGTCCTCCTCCTCATCAGTCCTCTTCACCAGTCCTCCTCCTCAGTCCACCTTATCCTCATCCTTCATCTCCTTCCTTCATCTCCTTTCTCCTCCTCATCCTCCTCATACACCTCCTTCTC